CCCCATGGCGACCGCCGGAACCACGCAGCCCCGCCCCTTCCTCGCGACGTAGCCCCGCCCCTCCGCCGAACCCGGAAACTCGAGGCGCGCGCTCGCTGAGCGGACGGTTCGGGAGGGGGGAGCGCGGAGGCCCAGGCTGGCTCCGCTGCGCGCCCCGCCCCTCTGAGGCCGGCCCTCCAGTGCGCCCCTGCTGCGGTCAGCGCCTCCGGGTTTAAGCACTCCCGACAACTGCCCCGACCCCCGGCTCCAGCCCAGCCACCTCCTCTACCTGTGCCTGTACTGAAGGAAAGAGCCGTTTTGCGGAGGCGAAGGACCGTGGGACGACCACGGCAGCTGAGTGGTTGGTGAGGCTGTGGGAAGCGGAATGTGGGTGTGTGATGTGTCTAGGGTTGGGGGGGACGGTGTATGTTGTGTGCTTGGCTGCTTTGGTCTGTGTGACTTTGTAAGTGTGGCCCCGAGTGGGGCGGTCCTTGTGACGGTACACGTGACCGCAAGCCTGTGTGTGTGTGTGTGTGTGTGTGTGTGTGTGTGTGGCCGAGCCTGGGTTCTTGGGGGTGGTAACTGTACCTATGGCCCCGTCTTTGTGTGGCTGTCACCGATGAGCACGGGTGAAGGTGGGGATGTGTGTGGCCTCGGGGGCCTTGCCCAGGGCATTCTTGTAAACTCATCCTGGGGCTACACAGCCTCAGCCAGAAACAATTTTTTCGGTAAACTTTTTAAGAACTCTGAGCAGAGGCAGCTTATTTTGGAGTTGCACCTCAGCCTGAAAGTGATAAACGTCTTTGTCATTGCTGAGTACGAGCCAAGTGTGAGGCTTGTGAATGGAGGATAAGGAAAGTCGCAGAGCTAGAATGTCTGTTTTCTCTTCTCGTTTTCCTGGGGAGTTAACTAGTTCTGCACTTACTACTGCTTCTTCATTTTCACCTACAACGATGGTCCAGCTCCCCTTGGCACAAAAATTAAAGAAACTCAGGAGTAACAATAGCCGTGTCTAAATTTCCAAAAGCTTTTATACTAAGACAGAATAGAAGATGAAGTGTCACAAAAAAAAGATGCTGAAAGGCAGCTTTTTTTCTCCATGAAGTTTAGAAAATAATGGAATAGGTTCCTGAAGAAAAGAAGGATAAATCTTCCCTGAAGAGATTTAAAGGAACCCTGCTGATGCAGTGCTTAAAGCACTAGGCTGCTAACCTGAAGGTCAGAGGTTGGAACCCACCAGTCACTCTGGGGGAGAAAGATGAGCCAGTCTGCTTCTCTAAAGATTTACAGCCATGGGAGCCCTGTGGAGCAGTTCTGCTCTTTCCTATAGGTTTACTATGAGTCTAAATCAGCTTGATGGCAATGGTTTAGGGTTTGGAAGAAAAAAAACTCACTTCCATCCAGTCAATTAAACGCACAGCGACATCCCCGCCTAAACCACCACCTCCTTGGGTTTCTAGGGTGGTATCTTTCCTTTGCCCAATCTTCCTTCTGAGGCATGGCTGGTGGGTTTGAACCACTAGCCTTCTGGTTAGCAATCAAATGCCTTAGGCACTACACCAGGAGAGCTCAAAAAAGGATAGTTATGTGCTGGTGCCATTAGGTATGGAGACGGAGACTTGCATTAAAAAGCCAGTTGCATTGCTTACAGACTACTGAGTTCTATTATTTTATTGCTGGTATTAATAATAATCACAGACTATCCATATGTAGATCAACTATGGATTGAAGTAAAGGCCTGGAAGCCCCTGACTAGGTAAGCTGGTTATGTGACTTCTTAAACATTTGTGAAGGCCATTTTCTTGCCTGTAAACTGGCAAGTTCTGTTGAAATCCCAAGGGGCAAGTGCATGTGAACCTTGGTGCACACTCACAACCAGCAGTTTTGTTGTCCAGCTGCACAAGGGCCAGAGAAGACTGGGTGTCCACAGCACACCCTAGGACAAATTTCCTTAGGCAAGGTTGAGGCTAATCTATTTGGTCCTTTTCTCACCAGCACAAACAGGTGCTTTTTGTTTTTTGTGAAGAAGTGAATCGTCAGAGGTCAAATCAATGTGAGCTCACGATGTGCATTCTTATTTGTTGTTTTTTGCCATCGAGTTGGACCCAACTCATAGCGACCTCTCCTCGGGTTTCCGAGGCAGTATTGCTACGGAAGTAGATTGCCCAACCTTCTTTCGAGGAGTGGCTGGTGGGTTTGAACCACCAGCCTTCTGGTTAGCAGTCAAGTGCCCTAGGCACTATGCTACCAGAGCTCCTGCATTCTTATTTAATACTGGTCATTTTGGTCACAATCTCAGATAACCTTCTTTGCCAGGTACAGATTGTACCTCTTGTGACTTGAAAAAGTTTTCCTCTTTAGTGGGTAAAGGAGTCCCTGGGTGGTGCAAATTGCTAAGCACTGAGCTATTAACAAAAAGGTTGGTTGTTTGAATTCACCCATAGGTGCCTGAGAAGAAAGCCCTGGTGATCTACTTCCCAAAGATCACAGCCGTTGAAAACTCTGTGGAGTGCAGTTCTACTCTGAAACACATGGGGTCGCCATGAGTGGGAAGTGATTCCATAGCTACTCATTGGTTTAGTGAATGAAAAAGAGAACAAACTTTACTTTTCATGCCACTCACAGCTGCTTTCTCTTTGCAGCAGTGAGCTTTTTTTTTTCCCCCCATTTGGTCACATGTAACATTTGGTATCTATTTTACCTTTCAAGTACTGCCAAACTAGCACAAGTGTTAAAATCACTTGTCTCTACAAAAATTTAGTCACAATTGGGTGGGATCTCTCCATCCATCAGGGTTGCTTATAAAATGCTGTAATACTAAGGTGGTTTTGAACAGTACTGAGGACTGTTGGTAAGGAACTTCTTTCTGTTTATGACCGTAAGGAAGGAAGAAGCCTGTGACTGAGTAAATGTATGCGCTGATATACGATGTGTACATGCATGTTTGTATAGTAGTTGGGTTTGTACTTTGCAACTGATTCCAAAACTGTGAACAATTTATTTTGTCCCAAATTTGGAGAATCTAGAAGATTTTCTGCCTTTGATTAGCTAAGATGTTTTTATAACTCTATTAAGTACAAGGAGCTCTGGTAGCATAGTGCCTAAGGCACTTGACTGCTCACCAGAAGGCTGGCGGTTCAAACCCACCAGCCACTCCTCAGAAGGAAGGTTGGGCATTCCTACTTCTGTAGTGATACTGCCTTGGAAACCCAAGGAGGGGTCACTATGAGTCGGGGCCGACTCGATGCAAATAACAACAACAACAACAACTTGCTAAACATAGTTTTTATATTGTTTCCTGTAGAATAATTGTTTCTAGCAATGCATTACTATAAAATGTCTAGTCCTTCAAGTCTGTTCAGGTAAATAATATTTCAGGATATGTGCTAATTGCTTTTCAAAAGTAATAGTCACTGAGGGAAAACCTATAGTTCAGATGGCTTAGATTTTTTAACATGGTCATATTTGCTGAGATAAAATGGATATGCAGAGAATGATTTCTTTATTTCTATATGAGAAATAACCATATCTGTACACACTGATTTTCAGCCTAAGACTGGCTGATGATTTTCTTGGTACTTCAAAGCAATTTAGGATTTTAACAAGCTTTTCTCAAAGTGCCACTCTAGCCTTGAGAAAAGAGACCATTATTACAACATCCGGGTGGTAAATCAGGTTTAGTATTGGAATGTCTAGATTTACTGTTTCCCTAGGGCTCAGCTTGGTCGTACCCCGCCCCCGCAAAGTTAGAGGTAACAGCCGACTGCTGAGTGCCTTGTGTTCCTGGAGGGCTGAGAAGGAAGCGTTCTACTCGGTTTGGAATTCCTTACTCTTTGCCAATCCAGAGAACTCCCTCTAAAACAACAGTTCAGAGTCAGCCCTGGCGTTAAATCCTAGAGTCTCAAACTCAGCCCTGTTGGGAAGTCCAGGCTTGCCCTGAGGTACAGGGCAGGGTCCAAAACAAGTATTTGAATCCTTCCAAACAGATGACTAGGGTTCCCCATTTATTAGTAAGAATCTGAAACAGGGAACTCTAATTTCAGGTTCCTGTTATGACATAACACAGATGCCTGAGCAAAAAGGGACAGCTTTAAGCTGAAGGTATTCAACCTGTCCAAAGCTCATACACTTGCCAGCATTAAAAGGGATTCTAGAATTGCCTCATTCAATCTCCTTAGGATATATTCACTTAGTCAATAAATAATGCTGTGCCAGGCACTGTTTTAGGCTTTGAGGGTATAGCAGTGAGCAAGTCATAGATGAAAAAACAAGGCAAAGAGGGTTAGTGATTTATCCAAGACCCCGAGCTGTAAGAGCCAGGAGTTGCTAATCTCACAACAAAAGACCACACATTTTTTCTGTAGGCAAATGCTTCATTTTGTTGTTAGGTATAGTGCTGTCAATCTGCTCTGGTATCTAATCATAGATCTTTCAAAGGATATTATATAACTTAATTGCATCAGTATGAACAGCAAGTTTTCTTTTATTTTGTATGAAGAACTACCTGCGAGGTAGTTAGGCTTACAACATATTAGGAAATTACGAGGAAGCAAGCTTGCATCCATGCCTTTCTCTAGAGTGGACTATTCCTTATAATTGTATTTTATTATCTTTATTAAAATTGATTCTTAAAATATTGTTACAAGACAGGTGATGGTACTGCAGTTCTGAATCATTTAACTAAGACAGGCAGTGTGGTGTCAGGGAAAGGCTGTCCTGTGCCTGGTCTTAACTCTGTGGTAGCCATGTGATCTCGGGTAAGTCGCTTAGTTTCCTAGACCATCTTCTGTTGGAGGAACTAAAGGGGTTGGAAGAATGATCTCTAAAGTCCCTTTCAGTTCTAAGGTTACAGGATTTCACCCAATTGTTTTCTGTAGTTTTAAGTGTATACTAACAAGGTAAAATAGCCTAATTCCTCAGTTTTACTTTTAAAAGTATTGCTAGTACAGCTAGACCAGACTCTACACTTAATTCTGATGTAAATATGAATTGTTGACATGAAACATCTTGTGCTTTTATTTCAGGGTTAACCTCCATTTCCACTAACCATGGGAGAGATTAAAGTCTCTCCTGATTATAATTGGTTTAGAAGTACAGTTCCCCTCAAAAAGGTATGTCTGGTTTTACAGCACCTCTTTTTTGCAAAATCTTGTATTGTTTTTGTAGTCATTTAGATGTTAAGCCTTCAGGCTGTTTAAGGGTGAAGGTTGTTGCCCAGTGTCTGGACTCTGGGTCGTAGATAGAGTGTGAAGTTCATCCTGCCCTGTCACATACAGTCCACTTTTGAGACTCATTCAAGATTATGAATAGGTATAACTATATTTATTATTTTCTAATTGTTTTTACATATTCAGGCAAGCAGGAATATATGTACTGCTCGGTGTAGTTTAGTTTAGCAGCTATATAGTAAGTGAATTCAGATTTTGTTATAAAGCACTTTTCTGTTCCTCAAATCTAAGATTTATAGTGGGTTATATTATAGATCCTCTGTTTGCAACGATATGCTCACTCTGCCATAATCATCTTCTATAAACCTTGTTTGCCTGGGCTGCCCCAAAACCCTAAAGACTTGTTTTGAAGTTTGACTATTGACTCTGAGTCTCAAATTAATCCCAGTGTTATGGGATCACACTAGACAAAGACTGTTTAACCACAGGGTAAAATCTTGACAGATTCCCTCACAGAAATTTTAGAATACTGTGATTTTAAAGGAGCTCTGGTGCCACAGTGGATAAGACATTTGGCTGCTAACCAGAAGGTCAGCGGTGCAAACCCACCAGCTGCTCCGTGGAAGGAAGATGGGGTGATCTACTTCTGTAAAGATTTACAGCCTTGGAAACGCAGTGGGTGGGTGGTCACTGTGAGTTGGAATCAACTCAGTGGCAATGAGTTAGGTTTGTTTTTTTTTTATGATCATAAGATCCTTTGTGTCTCTGTTATAGTCATTTTGTCAGGATAGACAGCTGTGGAAATTACATGCAAGTTTGCATTAATAACAGTTACTTTGCATATTGACAAGTATAGACAAAATACCTTATATATACTGGCACTGTTATAGGAACTCCACAGATATCTCATTTAATTCTTGAAACAGTTTAACAAGGTATGTAGTGGTGAACTCATTTCACAGAAAACAGGGATTCATAAAGATTAATTAACGTATTTAATTTTTGTTTTCTTTGGCTGCCTTTTGGTGGTATTTGAAAAAGTACATTAACTGCTTGAATATTTGCCAATGCAAATTGGTATGTATCCTACTTTTATATGTAAAAAATCCAAGGCCTTGTAGAGCCTTGATTTGAAATCAGGTTAACCTGCTTCAAGACCAGACACACTTGGCCTGTTTCCCAAAGGGAGTCTCCTTTCTTTTTGACCATTGTCCATACTAAAGGGGAGTGGGCCCCTAGGGTTCTTCTGCCCTGGCCCATTCCCACAAATAACCACCCCCTCAGCAAGCCGATCACAAGACTTTGAGAAAGTTGAAGTGGAAGGCAAGTAATTATGGCTTATATTCAGAGCACACTGTTTTCGTTACTTTTCTTCCAAACTGGGATGTTGAAATAATTTCCTAGAAACTTTTAAAGATCTGAACATCTTGGATCATATTATTGTGAGAGTAAGTACAAGAGTTAACACAGTGTTGAAAGCCACAAAGAGTTTTGTTTTTTTGTTTTTTTTTTACCACCATCAGAGCAAACAGAAACATGAAAAGTAAAAATATGCATAGCAAAACACAAAAGGCAAAAAAAAAAGCTTAAGTGTGGTATAGTGTTGTCACCATTCCTGGCCTACGTAAGTCCAAAAGGGAATTATTAGGCCCTCTGGACTTTGCCTTGCTCCGTTTTTCTGCTCCCAGTGACGCCAGTGACCCAGAGTGACACCACAGACTCCACAGGCCTGCCAGCGGGAGCTCTCAGAAAAAGAGCCTGGAGGCCTTGGGTTTTTTAAATAGAAAAGTGGGATAAATTTGATTTGCATTGGCAAATGTTCAAGCAGTTAATATACTTTCCAAATACTACCAAAAGGCAGCCAAAGAAAACAAAAATTATACTGTCATGTGGTGAATAATAATAATAACTAGCACTTATTGAGCACATAATATTGGGCCAAGCTCTATGCTGAGCATTTGACTTGCCTCAGCTCATTTAATGCTCATCCTTTCCCTCTGTTGGGGAAAAGGTACAACTGAAAAGTTCGGCCACTAAATCAGAAAAGTGACCTTTGACAAAAAAGCCATTTTCTCCTTGCACCCACCTTCCCTCCCCCGACTGAAGAGTTTGACACAGTCTCCTGGGACAGTTATACCTATTCTTGTCTCATCCCTGAGAGGCTTGGTCAAGCTCATGTTCCAGGAGCATCTTCTGAGCTTGGGCCATCTCTACCCAGCTTATTTCAAGAGCCTGGAGCCTTGTCTCTCTCACCTCCCGTTCGTGCTCTGCTATACCCTGCTGATGCGGATTCCAGCCTATCCTCTGGGCCACTTTGGAGAATGACTGCAATTACTCTTTCTTTATATACACACGTGCACACACACACACACACAGAGTCAGAAGTATGGGGAAGAAATAAGAAAGATGCCATATACAGAGTTTACCATATAATGGTAAACAAAATAGACTTAGTCTTATTATCACGAATGGAAAGGAAAATTAAAAGCCAGTAGAAAAAGCAGCTCTTTGGAAGACATAAAACAGTTCAGTGTGATATGTTAACACTAAAGAAAGAAAAAGAGACCAAAGCAGTTAACATACATGCTAATCTAGTATCTTGTTTTTAGACCTCAATACCAGGTTACCTTGTAACAAACAAGACAACAGTATTCAAATTGTCCATGAAATTATAGTGTAATATAACAATATAAAAACCAAATGTATAAGATTTTAATTGTTTTTTTCTTTACAACTTTCCCTCCAGATTATTGTAGATGATGATGACAGTAAAATATGGTCGCTCTATGATGCAGGCCCCAGAAGTATTAGGTGTCCTCTCATATTTCTTCCCCCTGTCAGTGGAACTGCAGATGTATTTTTCCGGCAGATTTTGGCTTTGACTGGATGGGGTTACCGGGTTATAGCTGTAAGTATTATTGATCTGGCATTAAATTTCAGATCCATATTATGTGTGTTTTTGTGCTTTTGTTTTTGATCAAGTATAATCATGGGCATGACCTTTACTGAGGTGTAAGATATTGTTTTCATATTATGAACTATGAAATGAAACGTTTTTTAAAAAATACTTTGTTGTCGGTGAAGGTTTACACAGCAGCGTAGATTCCCATTCAGTAATTTCCACACGAAATTGTTCAGTGACACTGGGTATGTTCTTCACAATGTGTGAGCATTCTCATTATTTCTATTCTGGTGGTTCCATCTGAAAATGAAACTTTTTGAAGGAAGGTGGTTTGTGTGCCCTGACACACAGGAACAAATGTTTATTGGATGCTGGCTCTGTGCCCAGCTTTTCTGTGCATTATCTCCTGTAATTCTTCTCACATCTCTGAATGGTGGGAAACATTATCCTCATTTATAGATTAGGAAACTGAGGTCCAGGTAATCTTAGTGATTATTACCACAGGTCACCCAACCAGAAAATGGTGGTGGGAAGAACTGTACTCAGTCTCTCATCTCCGTTTCCACTGCTCACTTTATCACATCAGTGCTTTCCAGGGAGCTGATCACAGAATGCTGGGCCCCAGGAGGAGCTTCTAACATACAGGTGACTGAAAGGTTGCTTCAGTGTAAAGCTTTGACATTTGAGATGAGGTTGATTAATTAGCTTATATCCTTAGCATTTGGTTAAGAAGTTTTTTGCTTCTAATACTTTATTTTATAGCTGAGTTTGGTCTAAAAACTTTCCACCGATCATTCTTGAATCTCCTTCTCTGGGAGAAAGATGTGGATGGGCAAGGCACTGTTGCTTGGGACACATTTTTTTTTTTTTGCATGCCACGGCTGTGTAAACAATCAAGAGCCAAGGTTGGTTCCCTAACTTCCGAGGAAGGTCAGAGAGGAAGGAGTGGGCAATTGTTTCTGGGACCTGGAATGTTAAAGTATAAATAGTACTCCTGGTGGGAAGACTGCTGTTATACATTTTACTTACTGTCTAAAGGAGAGAAATGTGGGTCAGATCCCTGTGCTTGCTTGGAAGATAACGGAAAATTCTGCTGGAGTTAGCACCAACTGAGACCACACAAAACAAATCCAATTCCTCTTCCTCCTGACAGCCCTTTACTTACTTGAGAAAACAGTTATCACCAACACCACCTGCTGCTTCCTCCTGAAGTCTTTTCTTCTCTGGCTAAATATCTCTGGCTTCTTTACCCATTCCTCATTTGCCAGGTTAAAGTCTCTGTAACATCCTCTTCCCTTATTCTAGATTGTCAATCATCCCTCTTCAAGTACAGTAAGTACCCCAGGAGAACAGACTGATCACCGCCCCTGTTCTAGCCCTCTGCAGCCTAAGATCAATGACAGTACCTTTTTTAGTTTTTGGTATTAATCATCTAGGGAAAGGGAACCTGAGCAGCCCCCCAGGCATCTGTCTCTCCCACTTGAGAGCGCTATGCTGACTGACAATACTGCCACTGTGTTTATCACTCCAAACCAGCAGGTCACAAGAGCCTTGCCTTCTTGCTGGAAATTTCATCTTTGCCATTATCCTGTGGGCTTTTTATATTTCATTAGCTTGATAATGAATTAAGAAAAGGCCAACAGTGTCTCTCTGAAATTACTTGGTCCTTAAGAGTTGATGAGAATGCTCAGTCCCGTACGGCAACTTTACTAGATATGTAGAGAATTGTTAGTATTCTGCTGAAACTAAGACAGCTTGAAGCACTTACTGATGAAGTTCAAAGACTAAAGCCTTAAGTATGGATTACACCTCAACATAAAGAAAACAATTAGACCAATAAGCAACATCATGATAAACAGAGAAAAGATTGATGTTGTCAAGGATTTTATTTTACATGGATCCACAATCGGTGCCCATGAAAGCAACTCAAGAAATCAAACAATATATGGAATTGGGCAAATCTGCTGCAAAAGACCTCTTTAAAGTGTTAAAGAGCAAATATGTCACTCTGAGGACTCAGGTACACCTAACCCAAACCATGGTTATTTTCAATCACCTCATACACATGCAAAAGCTGGACAGTGAATGAGGAAGACCAAAGAAGAACTGATGGATTTAAATTATGGTGTTGCTGGAGGAAATGCAGGACAAACAGGAGTACATAACTATGAGGGGCACGGGGAGACTGGGTTAGGGTTGGGCATGGTAAATGGCGAGTGAAACTAAATGTACATAATGTTGAATGTAAAAAAAACTCCTAAAATAAAAAATTATAAATAAATTGTGGTATTGGTGAAGAATATTAAATATACTGTGGACTGCCAGAATAACAAACAAACCTGTCTTGGAAGAAGTACAGCCAGAATGTTCCTTAGAAGCAAGGATAGTGCGATTTCATCTCATGTAGTTTGGTTGTGTTATCGGGAGGGACCAGTCCCTAGAGAAGGACATCATGCTTGGTATAGTAGAGGGTCAGCAAAAAAATGAAGACCCTCAATGAGATGGATTAACACAGTGGCTGCAACAGTGGGCTCAGATAGCAATGACTGTGAGGACGGCACATGACTGCGCTTGAGCAAATGAGCATTTCGTTTTGTTGTACATAGGGTCTGTTGGGTCCGACCAGCTCACAGCACCTAACAACATGAAGCAATTAAAATGAATGGGCCTTTTTCTTTTTTTTTTTTTAATTTAAATTTTTATTGAAATAATTGTATATTTACATGCTGTTATAAGAAATAATACAGAGAAATCCCTTGTATACTTTCTAGTTGCCACCAGTGCTAACATTTTACAGAACTATAGTACAGTGAAGGAGCCCTGATGGCACAGTATTTAAAGCACTTGGCTGCTAACCAAAAGGTTGGCAGTTCAAACCCACTAGTGTTCCACAGGAGAAAGATATGGCAGTCTGCTTCCATGAAGATTTTTTTTTTGATACATTTTATTGAAATATAATTTATGTACAGTGAAATACACAAAACTAAAGTGACATGGGTCAATTTTTTTTTTTTTTTCAGTGTTCCCTACTGTTCTGGTTACCTAGTACTGCTCTGACAAGAAGTATACCACAAATGGGACAGCCTTAACAAACAGGAGTTTAATATCTTACAGTTTGGAGGCGTTAAGGCCAAGTTCAAAGTGCCAGGCTCTAGGGGCTGGGTGACAGCCCCTCAACCTTGAGGTCCAGCTCTGCCTCCTGCTCCCGGCCCACTGGAGCTAGGGGCATTTCTTCACTCAGACAGCTGCTGGCTGCTGAGGCTGAGAAACCCCAAGGTTGATAAGTAAAAAAGGCACAGTCCCGATGTTACCACACGGCAGGCCATTGACTTAAATCCATTGTAAGTCCCAAGGTTGGCAGAGCACATAGCAGGCTGCTAAGCAATGACACGGCTACACGCAGGGTCCAAGCTTGCCATAGGCTAGAGACCATTCTCAAAGCTTTTCCTTATATACAGAAAGCAGACCACATACCCAAAGGCAGCTACTCAGCTGCTCCCAGTAGATTCCACCATGGAGTTGATTACCAGTCTCATCATGGGGAATATTATATCCAGCTGCTCAGCCACTCAACCAGGCCTAGCCAAGTTGACATGCAAACATAACCATCACACGTACTCTTCCCTCCCACCTCTGGTAACCAACAAAGAAAGTTTCCTTCCATATATAAACCTTTCCTTGACTTTCTACAGTAATGAACTAATATTATATTTGTCCTTCTGTGATTGACTTATTTCACTCAACATAATGTTCCCCAAGTTCATCCATGTTATGTGGTGTTTTGCAGATTCTACATTATTCTTTAGGGTTGCATAATATTTCATTGTGTGTATGTACCATAGTTTGGTCATCCATTCTTCTGTTGATGGACACCCAGGTTGTTTCCATCTTTTGGCCATTGTAAATAGTGCTGCAATGAACATGGCTGTGCATCTATCTGTTCTTGTCCTGGCTCTCACTTCTTTAGGATATATACTGAGTAATGGGTCAAATGGTATTTCTAATTCCAGCTTTTTAAGGAATCACCATACTGCTTTCCACAGTGGTTGTATCATTTTACAGTCCCACCAGCAGTGTATGAGAGTCCCATTTTCTCCACATCCTTGCCAGCATTTATTTTCTGTCTTGAACTTTGCCATCAGTACTGAGGCCAGATGGTATCTCACTGTTGTTTTGATTTGCATCTCTCTGATGGCTAATGATCATGAGCATTTCTTCATATATTTGATGGCCGCCTGAATATCCTCTTTGGTGAAGTATTTATTTATGTCTTCTGCCCATTTTTTAATTAGATTGTTAATCATTTTGTTGTTGGGGTATTGGAGTTTTCTATAAATTTTAGAGATAAGCCCCTTGTCAGATATGTCACTGCCAAATATTTTTTCCCCAATCTATAGATTCTCTTTTGACTGTTTTGGAGAAGTCTTTTGAAGCACATAAAAATATAATTTTTAGAAGGTCCCATTCATCTAGTTTATCTTCAGCTATTTGTGCATTTTGGATTATGCTTGACAGTCTATTTATGCCATAAATTAGGGTCCCTAAATTTGCCCCTATTTTTTTCTTGAGGAACTTTATAGTTTTAGGTTTCACATTTAAGTCTTTGATCCATCTGGGGTTAGCTTTTTTGGATGGTATGAGGTACGGATCTTGTTTTATTTTTCTGCAAATGGATATCCAGTTTTGCCAGCACCATTTGTTAAAGAGACCATCTCTCTTCGTCATTTAATGGATTTCAGTCCTTTGTCAAAATCAGCTGACCATAGGTCTGTGGATCTATTTCTGGGTTCTCAGTTCTGTTCCACTGGTCTGTGTGTCTGTCATTGTACCAGTACCAGGCTGTTTTGACTACTGTGGCTGTATAGTAGGTTTTGAGATCTGCTTCCATAAAGATTTACACCTTGGAAACTCTATAGCAGTTCTAATCCATCCTCAAAGGAGCTCTGGTAACGCAGTGCCTAAGGCATGTGACTGCTAACCAGAGAGTTGGTGGTTCAAACCCACCAGCCTCTCCGCAGAGGGAAGACTGGGCAATCTACTTCCATAAAGATTTACCGCCTCCCAGTGAGGATCGCTATGAGTCAGAATTGACTCGATGGCAATAGGTGTTTTAATCTATCTTCTAAGGAGCTCTGGTGGTGTAGTGGTTAAGGCATTTGGCTGCTAACCAAAAGGTCAGTGGTTTGAGCCCACTAGCTGCTCTGCAGAAGAAAGATGAGGTAGTCTGCTTCCATAGATTTACAACCTTGGAAACCTAATAGGGATTGCTGTGAGCCAGAATCAACTCAATGGCAGTGAGTTTGGTTTTAGAATCTATTCTCTAGGGTCACTATGAGTTGAAATCAACTTGATGGTAACAGTTGTTTTTTTTTTTTTTTAATAGTATACTGAAACCTGTGAGAGCTGAAACTTGATGGGACTGCTTTATTTTTTCTAGGTCTTCTAAGTTTTCTGCCTTTAACAAGGTGCAGTCATACCACTTTTCTCTCTTTCAGTGGAAAATATTTGAGTTTTCCTTCTCTGACAAGTTTCTGCTTTATACATGTTTTACTGTACAATATTACAACCAGGATACTGCACCAATCCATTGGTTCGGATGATTTCAGCTTTATTTGTACTAATTTGTGTGTGTGTGTGTGTGTATTAAGTTCTATACAGTTTTATCACTTATCTAGGGCCTAGATATTTTAGAATTAAAGGCTTCATAAAAATATCACTCCTTTTCTTTTAGGCTGTCAGCTATCTCATATTCTCAAATTTTCTGCTAGAGAGAGTATGTTCTCCATCCTTTCTCAGAATGATGGCAGTCTTATCCAAAATGTAATCTTAATAGTAAAAGTAACATATTACATCAAATCTGAAGTTAGCTCATAATTTACATGGTGGTATCTGTTCTAGTGATTTGTCAAAGACAAAATGGATCTAAATACTTAAAACAACAAGTCTGTTTTGTAGGAAGAAAGGGGAATTCTTAAGCAACAAGCTTGAGTCCCTGAGAAATGTTTTAGTGACTTGTGCTTGTTTTTCCTCATCATCACCAACATTGAAAGGCTCCTTAAAGTCAAGCACCATACTTTTTTGTCACAAATAAAAGTAAAAGAAATCAGATAAAATGACTAAGTCAGTTGAAGACATAGAACAATTTTACTGAGCACTCACTAAAGAGATGGTACCAACCAGAAGGAAATGGAAAGAGAGCTGTTAATGTTGTGGGGAATTGCATTCAGTGTCATGAAACAAAATGTATATGAGCTGCTGTATGGAAAATGAATTTGCTCTGTAAACTTTTACCAAATCATAGTAAAAAATATAAGTAAATAAATAAAGAGATGCTGCCAAAAGGAGAGGGAGTTCTCCTTAAAACAGAGCCTTTCCCCCATCCCCTTCATTTTCCTGAGTATAATTTAGAATGAAATTGGATTTAAGGGAAAACAGTATGAGTTTTGCTTTATTTATCAGCTGTTTGGAAAGGAAATTGATGTGAGTTGAAATTGCCATTCATGTAGTATCACTAGAGAGTGCTTACTGAACTGTTTTTTGTTTTTAAATTGGTCTGTTAAGTAAAATGAATTATGAAGTTTAGGGAAGGTGAGAGCTCATTTTCACATATTTTGAATAAAGAGCAGAGCTTCAGCAAATGAGAAATGTCATATGAGTGTTAAATTTTTCAGATATATGTATGAGTTGCATTTTACCTTTATAGTTTTAAAAAGATAACTAATCATGGTTATTATTTCAGTTACAGTACCCAGTTTATTGGGACCATCTTGAATTTTGTGATGGATTCAGAAAACTTTTAGACCATCTACAACTGGATAAAGTGAGTACCCTGAAACTATTTACTGTGATATTAATGCAGCATTTACATTGGAAAGCCTGGTGCTTTCTTTTTTTATAACAGCTTTATTGAAATATAATTTACATTCAGTATACCCTTTTAAAGTACAATTTAGTGATTTTTAGTATATTCACAGAGTTGTGGAACCATCACCACAATCAATTTTAGGACATCATCTTCATCTCAAAACTCAGTGTCTATTAGCAGTCACTCCCCATTTTCCCCCAACATTCCCTAGCCCTAGGCAACCATTAATCTATTTTCTGTTTCTGTAGACTTGCCTATTCTGGACAATTTCATATAAACTGAATCATACATTCCATTTATGTTTCCATTTGTATGAAATCATTTATTTTGTGACGTAACATAATGTTTCAAGGTTCATCCATATGGTAGCCCATATGAGTACTTCATTCTTTCCTATTTCTGAATAATATTCTAGTGGGATGTCACATTTTGTTATTCATTCATTAGCTGTGGACCTTTGAGTTGTTTCTACTTTTGGTTATTATGAATAATGCTGCTATGAAGATTCATGTACAAGTTTTTGTGTAGACATATGTTTTCATTTCTCTTGAGGATATACCTAGGAGTGGAATTACTGGGTGATAGTTTTCTTAAGGAAGGCATTCTGGTGGCACCGTAGTTAAGACATTCAGCTGATAACCAGAAGGTTGGCAGTTCAAACCCACCAGCCAGCCACTCCATGGAAGAAAGATGAGATGATCTCCTTCTGTAAAGATTTATAGCCTTGGGGCAGTTGTGCTCTGTCCTATAGGGTCACTATAATTGGAATCAACTCGATGGCAATTGTTGGTTGGTAGTTTTCTTAAACTAAGTGGTGGTGTTTTATATAATGGAATCATTGAAAATTGTTTCTTTCCCTTATATAATTTGGCTGTAGTTGTAGTGTTTTATTGACAAGGTGTATAAATTACATTTAAATACAGTATTTCCTGATTTCTAATTGCTATAGAAAGAGCCCTGGTAGTGCAGTGATTGAGTGCTCAGCTGCTAGCCAAAAGGTTGGCAATTCATACAGATATTTCAGTCTGTTGGCTAGTTATATTATATTCTGTGGTTGGTGACAGTTTTAAAGTATTTTTAATATTCATGTTCAGAATTGACCAACATTTTAGGATCTACCTTGTGTTTGTTTATATTTAGGTTCATCTTTTTGGGGCTTCTTTGGGAGGCTTTTTGGCCCAGAAGTTTGCTGAATACACTCACAAGTCTCCCAGAGTCCACTCACTCATCCTGTGTAACTCCTTCAGCGACACCTCTATCTTTAACCAAACGTGGACTGCAAACAGGTAAGAAAGTCAGCATTAGGCCAGTATTATTTTTGTTTGGTGGAATTTGGAAAATGTTGACGTTTGGAGTCTTTTGTGCAGTATGGAGGAAAGGACAAGGGCAGTAGTGGCTTGGTGGTAGAATTGCTGCCTGTCATGCAGGAGGCATGGATTCGATTCCCGGCCAGTGCACCTCACATGCAGCCACCACTCATCTTGTTCGTGGAGGCTTGTAGTTTCTGTGATGCTGAATGGGTTTTGGCAGAGTTTCCAGACTAAGATGGGCTAGGGAGAAAGACCTGGCGAGCTGCTTCCGAAAATCAGCCAAGGAAAACCCGGTGGAGCACAGTGGTCCCCAATTGATCAGGGAAATGTCACAGGACTAGGCGGCTTTTCAGTCTATTGTACATGGGGTCACCATGAGTTGGCAGCTGACAATAGCAGCAAGGGAGGAAAGAGTTGTATCTATTTCTGTCTTCTGAAACTGCCCTAGCTTTTAAAATAGGGAACAATTACCTTTAAAAAAGAAAAAAAAACTATTTCCATTACTCTAAATTATTTTTTAATCTTGCTTAATACAATTCATATACTTTCACAGTTTCTCTTCAGTGCATATGTAACTAATGCATTCTCTTTGCTCTACTTTCCATGTATAAACTGACAGTTAACATGAGGCATTTGGTTTTTCCCAGTTTTTTCACCATGTTCTACTGTAAACATCTTTGTACAGATTACTTTTTTCCCTTCTCTTTCTGGGTTGTCTCCTTGAGCTGTATTCCCAAAATGGAAAGACTGGAGCATTCGGCAGCAGGTGTTCTGCCCCTCCCAGTGCTTATATTAGCCTGCTCTTCAGAAAGATGAGAATGCTTTGTGGTGCATCCAGTGGAGTACGGGTTTCCTCAGAGCCATCCCATGGATTTTATCATTTCAGTTAGTGTGATAGATATCTAATGGTACCTTAAAGCTGGTTTAATGTGCATTTCTTTCATTGCTAGTAAGGCTAGACTCTACGCTGAAAAGAAAAAACAAAACACAATGACTAAACGTATCTCAGTGATGTTTGATTTTCAAATAACACTATAGATAAACACTGGTTTCATAATAAACTTTAGCTTGTACTCTGATACCGTTGGAATGTTTCCTGATATCTCAGAAGTTTATTACTCAGCATTCACACAGCAGTTTCTTATACACATCAGCTACTAATACTTCACATCCAGTGAACACTGAGCTCACTGATTATTTTTGATGATTTTTACTGTTTCTGTTTTAATCATCAGAGCAATAAGACTGCCCTCGCTTTCTGGTCTTGCATACCAGCCTCTTTCTATTCAATGTCTGAGTGCTTACTGTGTGCCACACACTGAGGACAGAGCTTAGAGCAAAGCCTCCCAGAGCTGACTTAGGTGTCATGGCCTTTAGAAGATGAGAAGGGTAGGTGAGAACTTAGAAAGTTAACTGGCAGATCAAGGACTGGTCCTCACAAGAGTATCAACTTCCTGCAAGGCTGTTCCACTAAGGATATGCATCAGAAGGCACTCTGCACCTTTTTTCATTTTTATTTTGTTTTTGTTGTTGAGAATATACACAGCAGATTATATGCAGTTCAGCAATTGCACAATTCAGTGATATTAATTACATTCTTCAAGTTGTACAACCATTCTCACCTCCTTTTCCAAATTGTTCTCCCCCACTAACATAAACTCACTGCCCCCTAACTTACCCGCCTACTCTTTTTTGAGTTGCTGTTGTCTGTTTGATCCCATGTAGATAAATTCTTTAAAAGAGCACAGTGCTGAAGGGAGAGATTCTTTACTAATTAAGCCAAACTATTATCAGTCTAAAGGAGCTCTGGAGGCATAGCGCCTAAGGCATCTGACTGCTAACCAGAAGGTTGGTGGTTCAAACCCACCAGCCACTCCATGGAAGGAAGACTGAGTAATCTACTTCCGTAAAGATTTACCATCTCAGAAAACCAATGGAGATCGCTATGAGTTGGAACTGACTCGGTGGCAGTGGGTTATTATCAGTCAAAAGAGCCCTAATGGTGTAATGGTTAAGTGCTTGACTGCTAACTAAAAACTTGGTGGTTCAAACTCACCAGGCACTATGCAAAAGAAATATGTGGCAGTCTGCTACCATAAAGATTATAGCCTTAGAAATCTTATGGGACCTTTCTGCTTTGTTCTGTATAGGTCTCTGTGAGTCAGAATCAACTTTACAGCAACAGAGTTTTTTCCCTTTTTGTTACGGATCTGCACCTTTTAGAAATAATTTTCAGCATGGATTTGGAGAAATTTTGCTTACTCCACGTAATGGCTCTCAACATTTGAAATTAATAGAATAAATATCAACCAAAGATCACATGTAGAAATCCATAAAGATCAGAATCGCCTTGTATTAACTCACTCGAATCTAACAGGAGCAAACTTTGAGGGACGTAATAATGCTCATTTTATTATTTGTATGTCTCTTTTGAAATACTTGTTAATCAAAAGGTGAAAGAATTTAAGATCTGTCTAGATGGGATTAACAGCATTTCAGAAAGCAACTTGAAAGGTTAGATAGGAAACAGAGGCTGGTAAGTTTATGTTAACGGGGAAGGAACAACACAGAAAAGGATGGTGACAATGGTTGCTAAACGTGAAGACTGTGATCAGTGTCACTGAACCATGTGCGCAGCAACTATTGAGTTGGTGTGTTGGTTCTACTGTGTATATTCTCAGCAACAACAAAATTAGAAAAGGGGAAAAAAAAAAAGATACACAAACATCTATGAAATACATATTTTAAAACTTAAAAAAAAAAAAAAAAGTGTTATCAGCCTGAAGGAAGGAATGTTTCTCCTAAGTGCTCAGTTTTCCAGAGGAAATAGTTTAACCCCTGGGAATAAGGCCAATTTAAAAAGGAAAATCTTGGATAGTCAAAATGTCAGCCTTGGTAAAGGTATTTTTAAATGTTGCTTATAATTATTCCAAATCCTGAAATAAAAGCTTAATCATACTACATCATAATTCCTTAGGAACTTGGACAACTGTATGAAAACTGGACACAGATTGCAAGCCTTCATCATGCTTGGATCTGAATGGCCCTGTACTTTTCCTGTGCTTGCAAGAACAGTTTTGAAACGGTTTGAGGGCTTGCTTTACACTATCTGCGGAGCAAGGTTATAGAAATTTCAGACAGTGGAATTAAAAAAAAAAAAAAATAGACACGGAGCTATTTGAAGGAATGGATTGCCTAGTTCTTTTTTTCTCTAGATCCCAAGTACCTAGCTGATACTGAATGGATAGTTGCTATTTATGTGTACTAGTCTTAGACATTTAAATTATCAGGTCTTTGTTTTACAGCTTTTGGCTGATGCCAGCATTTATGCTAAAAAAAATAGTCCTTGGAAACTTTTCATCTGGCCCAGTGGACCCTATGATGGCTGATGCCATTGATTTCATGGTGGACAGGGTAAGGATTGTGGCCTTGGGCTGGGGACACTTTGTGTTGGTCAATCATGTCTCCTTGGCTCCTGAGGATGTAGCTATTTCATTGAGTGTGCATTAGAGATGCCTGTCAAGCAGTCTTCCATATTAACTGATACATCAGAACAGACCAGGACTTGGCTACATTAGTGCTTCCCACACCAGCTGTTCTTCAGAATTGCTTGGGGGAGCTTTTAATAATACAGCTTCTAAGGCTTCAAGTTCCAGACCAGCTGAACTGAAATTCCTCCTGGGTATGGGGTCTCAAAATCTATCTTTTTACCCTGCCTCCTTCCCCCAAGAAGCTCTGTTGGCATCCGGATTAAAGCATTCGGCTACCAACCAAAAGATTGGCAGTTCCAACCCACTAGCCACTCTGTAGGGGAAAGATGAGGCAGTCTGCTTCCATAAGGATTTACAGCCATGGAACCCTGTATGGGGCAGTTCTATTCAGTCCTAAAGGGTCTCTATGAGTCAGAATTGACTCGATGGTGGTGGGTTTGGTTGTTTCCTCCCCTGTCTCTAATCCCAGGGCAATAACATGTTTCAGATCTGTAGATCTACATTTAGGAATAACTCAGCTAGATGATTTCTGAGGACTCTTCCAGCTCTAAGATCCCTTCTATGTTTATCTGTTACCTTTGAGCTGCAGGAATTGGCTTGCTGCCCACAGTCACCTGGTTGAAGGAGGGGGTTCAGGTTGAGGGATGTGAAGTTCAGGTTCCATTTGTGGAACCTTACCTAGGTGCACAGAAAGGGAAAATGCTACCACCCGAGAGGTCCAGTTCATGGTCCCTCAAATACACTGTGTTTCCACAGCATTAGCCTTTGTGACCCCACTGTACATGTTCCGCCTTTATAAGCACAAATATTGTATGTGGATTTAATGTTCATATAAAAAGCAAAATTAATTCAAAATTTTACCTGTGTTTCTTCCTACAGCTGGAAAGTTTGGGCCAGAGTGAACTGGCCTCAAGACTTACCCTGAATTGTCAAAATTCTTATGTGGAACCTCATAAAATTCGGGACATCCCTGTAACCATTATGGATGTGAGCTTCCTTTTTAATTAAAATAGATGCTTTGCCTTTTTAAATGTATATGTCAGTAGTCTCCTTGCAATTATTTTAGAATTTTCAATGTGCCTCTTCAGTGTTACCTTGGTTCCCTCCTCCCTCTCTGTTGCCTCATTCAGATATAATCTGTTTACGGCTTACTTTAGATTTTCTGGGCAGAAATAACACCAATGAATCAAAATAAATTTAAACAAAATGAGTAGTCTTTACCCATTTTGAGGTCTTTTTTAACAGGTATTGCACTGTAGCTCTTATTACACATCTGGGTAGCAACCAGAAGGTGCCTCATAAGGACAGAGAATTGATAATTCCAGAGTCTACTACTAATTAGCACAAAATTTGGCTTCTTACCTTCAAAATACTACTTTTTTAAGTGTAGAGTTTTTCTTTTTTAAAGTTTTTATTTCGTTGTTGAGAATTTCAGATAACTTCTTGAGAAACTATTTTGTATGTGTATAAAACATAAATATGTATGGGCATCGAAAATGTCTAGAATCTTATTCCCTAAAATGCTAACGATGGCTCACCTGGGAAAACACTTGGACTTTTTATCTTACACTCTTTCATTTTTTTTTTTCCAATTGCTTTTGCACTGACATAAATGTACGTACTTGTTTTTAACTAGTAATAAAATTAAAAATTTCCTTTGGGATTTCATCCTCTCCTTGAAATTAACATTTTCAATAGCTATTGTTCTCTATGAATATTCTGTTAATTCGTCAGCTACATTTAAGGAAAAGAGAATTTCACTGTAGCATATTTTTTCCCAAAGAATCTAAGAGATATTTAGCAGCAAAATCCATAGCTAACGTCTTACAGTGGAGTTAGAAGTCTGCAGGGATCAGCTCTCAGAGATGGCCGGGGCTGCACGACTCGGCATTCTTTCTTCCTGAAAAAGAATGCTCCTCGTGGGGGTAGCACTTTCCAGAATGTGAAAAGAATATACTAAAATACCAGTAGGTTTCAGCCTGTGTTTTTTTTTTTAAAAGGTGTTTGACCAGAGTGCACTTTCAACTGAAGCTAAAGAAGAAATGTACAAACTGTATCCTAACGCCAGGAGAGCTCACCTTAAAACAGGAGGCAATTTTCCCTACCTGTGCAGAAGTGCAGAGGTGAATCTTTATGTACAGGTAAGTCCCAGCCTGGAACTGGGAGCAAAATTTATGGTTTGAAGCATAAAGTGTTTTTTTTTTTTTATAATGGTGCAGTAATTAATTCTCTGTAAGAATGAGGCATTGACCTGTTATAGATGGTTTAAGTTCATAATTTGTAGGGGAATTTACAACAGGTGTGTTAGAGTATTAGTGACACCCATGCAACTTTCTGTCCACCAGCTATTTCCTAGGGACAGCAGGCCCATATCCACACACTGAAGTAGCCATTTGGTAAAAAGTGGCCTTGCTCCTAGACATGGTGAAATCCATCAAAGCAGGACTCCAGACCTAGACAGAGTCATTTTGAGTCCCAAGAAGTTACTTCTTGATCTAATTTTAATGGCTTTAAAAAAAAAAAACAAAACTAACAATTCAAACAATCCTTCTTCATCCTCCACCTAATTAGATATTTGAAGTAGTAATGAGAGGTGATTGCTTTGGCATTTGTCAAGAAACATTAAGAGCCTTTCAAAACAGTCATGCCCTTTGGTCCTTTTTGATACAATGGAAATGTATTTTAGGGAAAAGATCCTGAACATAGAAAACCTGATGCCCAGAGATGTTAGTTACAATAACAGAAGATAGGAAGGATCTAACTTAGAACAGCAGGGAAGGGTACATGCAGCCATTTAAGATGTTTAGGAAGAGTTTAAGAGTCCCTGGTGGTGCAAATGGTTAAATGCTGGACTGTTAACTGAAAGGTTGGCAGTTCAATCCCACACATAGGTGCCTCAGAAGAAAGGCTTGGCAATCTGCTTCCAGAAAGTCACAGCCTTGAAAACCCTATGGAACACAGTTCTACTCTACACACATGAGATTGTCATGAGTCAGAACTGACCCAATGACAACTAACAACAACAATGAAGAGTTTGTAGAAACCTGGAGAAGGGTGAGGAGCAAAGATCCCAAATTGTGATTTAAAAACATTCTTGAACTTTTCTGGGAGCTCTGGTGGTGTAGTGCCTAAGGCATTTGACTGCTAACCAGAAGGCTGGCAGTTCAAACCCACCAGCCACTCCTTGGAAGGAAGGTTGGCAACGTACTTCTGTAGTGATACTGCCTGGGAAACCCAAGGAGGGGTCTCTGTGAGTTGGATCCAACTTGACAGCAGTGCATTCTGGACTTTTCTGTAGGTTCCAGTTTTTCTCTAATTAGTATGTGTTACTCTATAATTTTGGAAATACAAAACATTTATATACTATGGTGATATTTTCCTACCAGCCTTTTATATGCAGCAATATACATTACACTCTGTAATGCAGCCATTTAAAGTAACAACTCTGTGTTTCTACAGATACATCTGCTGCAGTTCCATGGAACCAAATATGCAGCCATTGACCCGTCCATGGTCAGTGCCGAGGAACTCGAGGTACAGAAGGGCAACCTTAGCATCAGTCAGGAGGAGCAGTAGTTCTGGCTCTTCTGAGATAATGACCCACCCAGCGTGTTCTGTACAATCAGTGACGTCAGTGCTCCAGCCACCCCTGTTCGGATTGGCTGGGTTCACCGCTTATCACTGTGGTTTGGAAGTAGGACTGATTGTCATCTTCGTGACAGGAGGCAGTTCTTCTAAGCCAGTGCACCTGTTTCCTCTTCAGGTTTTTTTCTTTTTCTTTTTCTTTTTTTTTTTAAGCTTTTGAATTTGAAGAAGTCCTTTTGAAGTACTCCCATTTTAAGGATTGTGAAATTTTTGCTACCAAGTCTTCACCACTGTGTTTTTAAGTGACTTTTAATTTCTGAGGTTTGGGATGTTGTGAAGGTTTTCTTTTTCCTTTCTCTTTCTTTCTTTCTTTTTGTTGTTTGCTGTAAATGCTGCACATTGAGATTGTGTGTTAGGACATGGATTGTTTCTATGCTTTCTTGATTGTAACTGTTATCAGAGTGCCAAGGCTATCACCCCACTGTTTGTCTCCTGCAAATCAACTATTTTTCATTTCCATTTAAGCAAATTATTTTGACTTTTAGCTGTTGTCTTTCTAGCTATAACAGTCATTTTGAATAAAAGTTCAATTTCATTGAGTGGCTTTTGTGATTATTATAGCTGCCCAACTATGCTACCACAGACATAAGACTTTCTGAGAAGACTATAGTTTTTACCAACTTAATCATCCTAAATCACAGTTTGATGAAAATTAAGACTACATCCTTCAGTATGGATTATATCTCAACATAAAGAAAACAAAAATCTTGAAAAAATCCTCACAGCTGGACCAATAAGCAACATCATGATAAACAGAGAAAAAGACTGAAGTTGTCAGAGATTTCATTTCACTTGGATCCACAATCAACGTTCCTAAAAGCAGCAGTCAAGAAATCAGACATATTACATTGGACAAGTCTGCTGCAAAAGACCTCTTTAAAGTGTTAAAGAGCAAAGATGGCCCTTTGAGGACTGAGATGAGTGTGACCCAAGTGATGGTATTTTCAGTAGCCTTATATACATGTGAAAGCTGGACAGTAAGGAAGACTGAAGAAAAATTGATGCCATTGGCAAAGAATATTTTGTTCTGTTGTACACAGGGCTGCCATGAGTCAGAACTGACTCCACAGCACATAACAACAACAAATCAGTTTGTTCATTGTGAAATAAAAGTAGCTGTCATTTACTGAGTTGCTACTCTGTAGCAGGTACTTTTCATATCTTATTTTTTCCACCCCACTGGAAAATTTCAAACACAAAGTTGAGAAAATAGTATAATGAAGTATGTCGCCATCACCCAGATTCAAAAATTATCAGCTCATAGCAAATTTTATTTTATCTTTTACCCATACTCAACTTCTTCCACACATAATTCCATCACTGGATTGTTTTAAAGCAATTTCTCCTGTTACATCATCTGTAAATACTTCTGTATGTACCTTTAAGAGAGAAAATAGCTATAATACTATTATCACACTTAAAAATTTACCAATAATTTCTTCCTATCATCTGATATCCAGTCAGTATTCTTACTCACTGTTCCATAAATATATTTTTACAGTTGGCTTGTTCTCATCAGGTTCTGTACAAAGTCCACACTTTGTATTTAGTTGAAATGTTTCTAAATCTCTTAAACTCTTAAGTTCCTCCTCCACTCCCCCTCCCCCTTGCTGTTTATATGTTGAACAAACAGACTTGTTTACTGGATTTGGCTAATGGCAGCTTCATGGTGTCATTTAATACGTTTCTTTGTCCCCAGTATTTTCTGTAAATTGGTAGTTAGATCTAGAGGCTTGGTTGGGTTCACTTCACAGGTGGAGTCCTGTACTTCCTGTGGCTTCACCTCAAGAGGCACATAATGTCTGGTTGTCTCTTAAGTGTTCAGATGAGTCAGTGGGTTCAGGCCTTGTCAGCCTCACCCCAATCATTGGCACTGGGGCATGGCTACCACTGCTAATCAGTGTGTAGATATGTTGTTTCAGTCGGGGCCACAGAACAGTGATGCTGTTCTAACTTCTGTCATTCCTTTTGCCTTTTGCATGGATTAGCTGAAATTTGCCAATTAAAAAACCCTTCCTCTCATCAACTATTTGGTTTCTCTGAGGTACAAATCAGACAGGAAAATTAGCATCAATGCTTCCTTCTCTTAATTTAGCAGTTTTCAGAATATCGAGTTGACCATATCCTCTCAGATTTTATCCCCACCACAACCCTGATTATACTGATTTTATAGATGAGATCATAGAGACTAAGAGAAGTCAGTAGACTTGCTCAGGGTCACACAGTAAGGGGTGGAGCTGGGATCCAATTTGGGTCTGACCGTCTCTAAAGTTAGTGATCTTCCCCACTGGGCCACAGTGTTTTTTCCTTGATTATGCTAGGCTTGATGTTGTTTTTACCTATTAGCGTCAGAGGCTTCCTTCAAGCTGCTAGCTGTCATGTGTGTGTCTGCATAACTGAGTAGGGAGCTCTGTGGGCAGGGCCAAACTCTGTGTCTCCCACAGGCCCCATGTCATCCAATACAACAATGAATGGTTGGCACTGCCCTCCACTGTCTGGATTCTCCTTGTGTAAGCCCGAGAGGTGTAGCTACAGAAAACTGTGCATATGGGAAGCACTGAAATTATGTCCCTGTCCAAACATCTGATACTACTCATCTTTTAGATATCTTTCCCATAATACCAGCTCAAAAATATCAAGTCAAGCTTGTTAATCTTTTACTTAACTCGTTATGGCACTACACGTGAGTTACAACTGCACCTTCCTTGCTTTCACTGATGAAAGTCAGTCTATGATGTGCTCCAAGTCTTTATTTTGTTTATTTCTTATGTTTCTAAGGAGTTCTGGTGGTACAGCAGTAAAGGCATTCGGCTGATAACCAAAAGGTTGGCAGTTCAAACTTCAGCTGCTCCATGGGAGAAAGATGAGGCAGTCTGCTTCCGTAAAGATTTACAGCCTTGGAAACCCTATGGGGCAGTTCTACTGTGTCCTATTAGGGCTGCTATGGGGTGGAATTGCCTCGATGGCAATGAGTTTGGTTTATTTTTTTTCTCTTTCTACACTTAGCATGGGAGCTCTGGTAGCATAGTGCCTAAGGCACTTGACTGCTAACAGAAGGCCGGCGGTTCAAACCCACCAGCCACTCCTCAGAAGCAAGGTTAGGCAATCTACTTCCGTAGTGATACTGCCTCGGCAGCCCAAGGAGGGGTCGCTATGAGTCGGGTCTGACTCAACGGCACATAACAACAACAACACACTTAGCATAGCAAGATCACACAGTCTGCCTTGACCCATGAAGGCTCTCTGTGGTGGTTATGTTTTTTGTGTCAACTTGGATAGGTCTGGTTGAGTGGCTGGGCAGCTGGATATAGTATTCCCCATGATGAGACTGGTGATCAACTCCATGGTGGAATCTACTATGAGCAGCTGAGTAGCTGCCTTTGGGTATGTGGTCTGCTTCCTGTATATAAGCAACAGCTTTGGGAATGGTCTCTAGCTTATGGCATGCTTGGACCCTGCATGTAGCCTTGTCATTGTTCAGCAGCCTGCCATGCTCTGGTGATCTTGGGACTTACAATGGACTTAATGGCCTGCCATATGCTTTGGTAACATCAGGACTATGCCATTTTATTTGTCAACCTTGGGCTTGTTAGCCTCAGCAGCCAGTAAGAAATGCCTCTAGCCTCGGTGGGCTGGGAGCAAGAGGCAGAGCTGAAGCCCAAAGTCGAGGGGCTTTCACCCAGCCCCTAGAGCCTGGCACTTGGAACTCAGACTTCTAGCCTCCAGAACTATAAGAAAATAAACTCCTGTTTGATAAGGCCGTCCCATTTGTGGTATATTTCTGTTAGAGCTGCACTAAGTAACCAGAACAGTCTCAAATACAAAAGTGTTAGTTTCAACTTGCTGAATGATTTGTCACACCTGGCAATGGAAACTGATGGTTAATAAAAATTGTTCAGTGGCACCCCCTTCAAGCGGCACCCATGTGCCATACCTGCCGTACCTTAGATGTGCCTCTGGTAAGCCCACACCCTCAAATACCTTTAACCACACCCTGGATTTACCCCCTGATGACTGCAAGCCGCCATGTCCAGCCTTGCCCATTTCTCAGCACCAGCTTTGAATGCCCAGTACCACTTAGGCCAGCCTTCTGCAGGCATCCCAGACTCCACCTAGCAAAAATCACACCTATGTCTCCATTGCCCAAATCTGCCCCTTCTCTACTATGTCCCATTTTATCAGTTCTGGCATTGCTATGTCTCAGATTTCCTACCTGGAAACAGCCTTCTTGAACTTCACCCTTCAGTCCCCTGTCGCAGGCAGTAGCAGATACTGAGATGAAATTTTGGATGCAAGATATTAACTTAAGAAGTTGGAAACAGAAATGCCTTTTGATCCAGCAATTCTATTCTAGGTATATACCCTAAAGAAATGAGAGCCAGGATAAGAACAGATACATGCACACCCATGTTCATCACAGCACTACTCACAACAGCAAAGAGATAGAAACAACCTAAGTGCCCATCAACTGAGGAATGGATAAACCGTGATACATACACAAAATGGAATACTATGCACCCCTAAAGAATAATGTAGAATTTGCAAAACACCACGCGATGTGGATGAACTTGGAGGATATTATGCTAAGTGAAATAAGTCAATCACAGAAGGACAAATACTGTATTAGTTCACTATTGTAAAAAGTCAAGGAAAAGTTTATACATAGAAGGGAACTTTCTTTGTTGGTTACCAGGGATTGGAGGGGGCGGCTAAACTCCTAGATAGGTTGAAAAAATATAGAGAGAGAAGAGAGAGAAACCAAAGATTATTAGTGGTTATCAGGGGTAGGAGGGAGAGGAAAAGGAGAAGCTTTTTTTGTGAGGCATTGAGTTTATGCTAGTGGTGGTGGAATATTTTGGAAAAGGATCGTGATAATGGTGACACAACATGATAAATGTCATCAATGTCCCTGAGCTGTAAATAGGGAAGTTGTTATGTTGGCAAATGTCTTCTTGTGTATGTTTTCACCACAATAAAAATAAAAAATAAAAAAATTGTAAGACGAAGGTAAAAATGAAATTACATGCCTCCTGGAACTGTCAAAGTATACAAATAAGTTCGTGAATACAAACAGTTGTGACTCGGCATCATAAAGCCAACGAATGAGATGTTGCTGTTAGTACCCTCAAGTAAATTTTGACTCATAGTGACCCCATGTGACAAAGTAGAAAACTACCCCATAGGGTTTTCTAGGCTATAATCTTTATAGGAGCAGATCACCTGCAGAGCTGCTGGATGGGTTCAAACCACCAACCTTTCCTTAGCAGCAGATCTCTTAACTGTTGCACCATCAGGGACCCCTCCTTGGGTTTCTGAGGTGGTATCACTACGGAAGTAGATTGCCCAACCTTCCTTCTGAGGAGTGGCTGGTGGGTTTGAATTGCCAGCCTTCTGGTCAGCAGTCAGATGCCTTAGGCACAACATCACCAGAGTTACTAGTGAATGAGGTAAGGGAGTCCATTTTGTAAGTGATGGCTGGGACCCTTACCCCAGGATGAGGTGAAGCAATGGTGGGTTGGAAGCTGGCCCTACCACCTGATTAGTGATGTGGGTGACTCTCCACGTTCCCCATTCTTGGGCAAACTGCTTATCCTCTCTGAGCCTTGGTGTCTTCTCTGTCAAAATGCCCCTTGTCCCTCGATGGAATGCTCTGAGGCTCTGAAGAGATGATGGAGGGAGATGAAGGTGCAAAGGGATTACCTGTAGAACCTGAGCAGGCCCCTGGACCAATGCTTGTAAACAAGATTATAGCCATTTGCCTGCAGTCACTACTTGACTAAGTGTTTCAGTAGAACCAGGTGGAGGTCTGGTAACAGTGTTGTGGGTTTTTTTTTTTTTTTTTGAGCCCTTAAAATGATGGTCATCAATTGTTCAGATGGCCCCACATTCTGAGATCCAGGTTGGCCCCCCTCCATTACATGGCTGTGCACCTCCTGGAGGCACTGGGGTCTGCATTTGTTTTCTTCCTGATGCTTTCTGCAAAAGACAAAGAGTCCTATTGTCCCATGTTGCCTGAATTCTGCCTCACAAGGCTGGTTTTATGTTTTAATGGCCTGTCAGAGTTTGTGCTAAAAGATGCAATAATATTGAAGAAAATTTTGGAAAAAGAAATGAAAAAATCATCCCTAACTCTTCCACCTTTTGATTTCCTGCGCTTGTCCCCATGCAATCTGTCTCTGCTCTTCATGCCTGTGGCAGCTGTGGAGTAGCCACTACGCTGGGGGCTTTTCCTTTCTCCCTTCAGTCATATGCTGTTTTTCCTTGTTGTCTCCTAGTTGATGTAACCTTCATAACCAGCAATGACTGTCTAATGGCCCATCCTGTAGCTGCCCCACAATGCCCCATGTTGATGATGGACATTATGATGTTGAAGGCTTTTTCATCACTGATTTTGTTTTTAATGAGAGATTGGTAAGGGAACCTTTGATCCTACCTCCCTGACGGCTCCACAGGATGCCCTGAGTCCCAGATCAGGCTTCCCTGATTAACAGACTCAAATGGGTGTTGGTGGCCTTGAACATTTTACTTCTCTCTGGTTCAAGTCATATTAATCTAGTTCTGGCCTATATCTCTTAATATTTGTGAAGATATTAAAATATAGAAATAGTTCAAATATTGTGAAGAAGTCTAGAGGCTGTTCCAGCTTTATTCCAAACTGGGGGGCAGGGGCACAACATCTAAGTATAGAGGGCCAGAGAGGAAGAGATTACAGCATCCTTGGCTTTGGAGGCTATGAAGGTCTTAGAGATCATCTGGGCCAACATCCCCATTGCACAGACGGGAAATCTGAGGCCAGGGGCACTGTGCTTTGCCCAAGGCTCCACCTTCAGGTCCAGAAGGCGGCAGGACTAGGACCAAGAATGTGGAAAGTAGAGAGTCAGTCTCACTGCTTTGTGGTCTGAGAAACCATTGGTGGGCCCACCCTGTTCCAGTGGGGCCATGTGTCTCCCCAACCCTGGGGAGTAGCACTGCCCTAAGCAGAAGCCAGGATGAGTATGCTCTTACCAGCCAGGTCACTCCTGCCAATGGCCACAAGGCCCTCGAACAGCGCTTTGCTGGGGTTCTTGCCGGCTACACCCACACCATGCAGCCAGATGAGCAGCATCCGGTGGCCGTGTTCCCGGTAGCTCTTGGTGCCTGAGGAGGGAAGAAAAAGAGAGAGAAGGAGCAGTCTGGGCCACCTCACTGCTGGGCCACTGTGTCTGTGTCATCTCCATGGCCTCTGGAACTGCCCAGGCAGTTGAGCCCAGGGCTTATTTCACCAGGCCCTCCTGGATACTATGGTGCCCAGTCTGGAGATGGAGGCTGGTGGGAGAGGAGCTAGGAGCTGCCTGGAAGATGGGTGGAGGTGGGGACTTTGTGTCAGGGCCTCTAGAACTTCCCCAGCCCCAGGCTATCTCCTGAACATCCACCATCTGCCCTGCTAATGTCACTCTAAAGAAAGAATTGGTATTTGTTGTTGTGGTACCATGATGCCCACAATTGTACACTTTATCTCTTTGGCTGCTCACAGTAATCTGTGCTTTGCATGCTACTGGTCCTATTTTACAAATGAAAAAACTGCTTAGTCAGAGACAGAGCTGGCAGTGTTCCTCCCTCTGCACCAGTGGGCTTCATCTCTTACTGCTCATTGGAAATACCTGGAAAGCTTTGAAAAATACACCTTGGTCTCCCATCAGCGATTCTGACGTACTTGAGTCTGGGTGCAACCTACTGGCATCACTAGGAGGGGAACCGGGACCACACCAAGTGACACTATTGAACGGCTGACACCAGAAGGACTGTGTATAAAATTTTGTGTAATATTTGAGCAGAAATTACAAAATATCTATATAGTTAATTTAAAAAAAAATTTTTTTCCTCAAGTCCAGCTTATATGTATCAATATACCTACAAGGCTCAAATCCTATGCTAATTTACTTTGTGAACCTTCTAATGCACTGTGGTCAGAACTGTCATCATCACTCAATTACACTGTCACTTCGAATCAGTGGTTTTGTCTGCACACGCTACAAGCACACACTTCTGTTTCTGTTGCTGCTAGTGTTTTTATGGTAGCTGATTTTATCAAATTTAATGATGTTCTAGCTATAATATTATAGTAGTTAGTATTTATGAACCTATATCAATAACTTTTTTGAGAATGAAGTAGTAATGAAAGAAAATGAGGGATGAAAATAAAAAAAAGGCTTCCACTCAGTTACTGATGATGTTGTAACTAATAATGTTATGACTCAATATAGAAAGACTTCACAAAACAATTTTGTTGTTAGTATTCATATAATCTAAGGAATATTACATTTAAGCACTTTATAACTATATTTACCATATACTATTCTATGATTAAAATTGATAATAAACACTACTAGATTCTGTATGGTCTGGTCAGGAGGATGTCCATGGTGGGGGTGATACCTTGAGTTACTACTGACTGGGTGATACTCACCCTAGTGATGCCATTGGTGCAATCTAGGCACTGAGGTTTGTTGAAGCTTCCCAGATGATTTCAATGTGCCACCATGTTTAGAAACTACTGCTCACAGTCTTGAGTGTCCTGTGCTAGAAGTTAACTTATTATTAAACTCTGTGACTAGGTCTGCTCTCCAATCTGGGGTTTCCACATGGTCGGGACACAAAATGCTCCCAGGGACAGCCCTCAAGTCCAGGTGAGTCCATTCACTACCTCCTCTGACTTTGTGTGTCTCCCTCTGGGTCCCTAACAGGCCCTTACCCGTAGTGCTGCCCTTAATGTCACAGTTTTATTTGGTCCAGGTTGTGAGCTTATAGAAGGTGGAGACTGCTTGACTTGTTCTCATGTATGGTGCTGGGCACTGTGTTAAGCACTTGACATACTACAATAAGGAGAAGGTGAGTGACTTGCTGGGAAGCTACACAGCTGGTCTGGGTAGACCTGCCTCTAGCCCAGCTCTGTCGGACTTGAGCCCAGAATCTTAAACACCAAGCCATGCTGCCTCTCTTTATATTCTAGCACCTAGCCCAAGGCCTTCAAATAGGTACATGGTGATGGCTGGGGCTTACTGTGGCTCGGCTGTGGGCTGGATAGGTTCTTTCCTCAGAAGCAGAAAAAAAACAGAACACACCTAAGCTCTCCAAACCCTCTGCTCAGCTGACTAATCTGGAGTGGGGAGAGGCAAGGTGATACCTGTCCACTGTTGCTCAATGGCATGGACATGGGCCTCAGTGAACTCCCAGGAATATGCAAGCTTCTTCCACTCGTGGGGCCTCAGGTACTTGGAGGCCAGTTGCCACAGCACAGAGCGGAGCTGCTGTGTCTCCTGCCGGTGGTCCTGCTTAAAGGTCAAGCTCTTCCTGGAAGGGTCACTGGAGTCCCTGCATGAGAGGTAGTCCTGTGGGGAAGATCCCAAAAGTGCAGAGCTGTCTAGGAGAAATCCCTGCCCAGCTGATCCTCATGATCCTGGACAGGGCAATGCAAGGTTGGGGCCCCTATGACCTATTATGTCCTTCACTGGGAAGCCTAGGAACTGCAGTCATCATGGGCTTGGGGCTCAATATCCATTCAGGTTTCTGACTCCATGCCTTGCCTTGATCTCTGGCACCCAAGCTGCTCACACTGTTCCTCCACCCAGATGTCTTTCTCTTACCTCCCTGCCTCTCAGCCCCATTGCTACCCACATGCTTCCTCTTCCAAGAAGCCTTCTCAGTTCCTCTGGTCAGATGCTTCTCTTTTTTCCTGTATTCCAATAGCATGGATATCAACAGAGAGGCCCCAGATGCTGTGGCCCAAACCAGGCAGCTCAAACACTAGACTAATTGAATCCCAATTAGTAAAGCAACCTGGGTGGGGTTATAGAATTCTTTCTATCCAAAGCAGGTGATAAAATGAGAGGTTACAAAAGTATTATATAAGAATTATGTAATGTTCTTGTTGTTATGTGCCGTCGAGTCATCTCAGACTCATAGCGACCCCTCCTTGGGTTTCCAAGGCAGTATCACTACGGAAGTAGATGAATTATGTAATAGCATAAATTAAACGCCTAGACCATGGGTTCTGGTTGTTAAAAGGTGTAGAGTGAGATGCCTAGTGTCTGCTACTGTAATTCTTGCATCCTGATCAACAGTCTCTGGCCAGTAATCTATGATGTGACCACTAGGCAAGCTGGGCTCTTACCTGGGGAGATAGAAACTGTTCCCTCAGGTAGTGTTCTCAGCTTTGTCTGTACATTGGAATCATCTGGGGGGCTTTAGGAAATACTGATGCCTGGACCCCACCCCAGAATTGGTCTGGGGACAAGGGGAAGGGATTGGTTATTCTAACGTACAGTAACTGCTTTAGTGGGTGAGGACCTTTAAACCCTGAAGTTGTTTAGAATTAAGTACAAAGATGAGTCAGTTAATCAAATCCTTAGTAGTAATATTTTGAGGTTACATTTAGGACTAATCTGTCATACATAAAGAGGTTGTAGTGTTTTAAGAGAATACAGCATATCAGTGGAAGAGTATATCTTATGATTTCTACTGAACTTTGTTATTGAGCAATTGACTTTGGAATTGTAATTTTAATTTGAGAGGGGCAAGAGAAGTTTCTTTAGTTTGCAAATAATATTGGAACATTTAAGATATTTTAGACATGGAAAGAGATGATGGAGAAGCTCAATATCATCAGTCAGAACAAGGCCTGGGGCTGACTGTGGAACAGACCATCAATTGCTCATATGCAAGTTTAAGTTGAAGCTGAAGAAAATTAATACAAGTCCATAAGAGCCAAAATATGACCTTCAGTATACCCCATCTGAATTTACAAACCATCTGAAGAACAGATTTGATGCATTAAACACCAGGGACTGCTGTGGGATAAGGTCAAGGACATGAAGAAAGCAGAAGGTCATACAAAGACCGGAAAGGAAGAGCAGACTGAAATGGATGTTCGATGAGACTCTGAAACTTTCTTTTGAATGGAAAGTAGCTAAAGCAGATGGAATAAATGGTGAAGTAAAAGAGCTGAGTAAGAGATTTCAAAGGGCAGCTCAAGAGGACTTATTATAATGAAATGTGTAATGACCTGGAGTTAGAAAACCAAAATGGAAGAACACTTGCAGCATTTCTCAAGCTGGGAGAACTGAAGAAAAAATTGATGCCTCGAGCTATAATACTGAAGGATTCTATGGGCAAAATATTGAACAATGCAGGAAGTATCAAAAGAAAATGGAAAAAATACAGAGTCACTGTACCAAAAAGAATTGGTTGACATCTAACTATTTCAGAGGTAGTATATGATCAAGAACCGATGGTACTGAAGGAAGAAGTCCAAGCTGCACTGAAGGAATTGGCAAAACACAAGGCTCCAGGAATTGGTAGAATACTCATTGAAATGTTTCAACAAACAGATGCAGCCCTGGAAGCGCTTACTTGTTTATACCAAGAAATTTAGAAGACAGCTACCTGGCCAACTGGATGAAAGAGATCCATATTTGTATCCATTCCAAAGAAAGGTGATTCGATAGAATGTGGAAATTATCATCTGTTGTTGTTGTTTTTCTGTGCTGTGGAGTCGGACCTGACTCATAGCAACCCCTCCTTGGGTTTCCGAGACAGTATCACTATGGAAGTAGATTGTCCAGTTTTCCTTCTGAGGAGAGGAGTGGCTGGTGGGTTTGAACCATCAGCCTTCTGGTTAGCAGTCAAGTGCCTTAGGCACTACACTATCAGAGCCCCCACAAATTATCAACCAATATCATTAATATCACACACAAATAAAATGTTGCCGAGGATGTCAAAAAATGATTGCAATAATACATTGACACAGAACTGCTAGATATTCAAGCCAGATTCAAGAAAGGGCATGGACTGGTGGAACCACTGAGACTAAGATCCCTAGCTGCTCTTCAGGTCTGGAATTGAACCCACACCTGTGGCTTCCAGCCAAACAAAAGACAGGCATATAAATTGAACATTTACCTGAGGTAGATACACTTCTTGGAGAGAACAATCATGGGAGAAAGAAGGGCTGTGTATGCACAAGGAGACAGCTCAGCGGGCAGGGGTGCATGGAGGGAAGGACACAGGGAAGAGGTAACTATTGGGAGGAAGTGGGAGGGGAGCTGTTCCACTGTGGTAAATTGTAGTCAATGTCATGAGACAAAGTGCATGTGAACTGCTGTATGGAAAGTGAATTTGCTGTAAATTTTCACCAAATTACAATAATGAAAAAAAAAAAAAGGGCATAGAACAACGGATATCATTGCTGATGTCAGATAGATCTTCGCTGAAAGCAAACAATACCAGAAAGATGTTACCTCTGTTTTATTGACTATGCAAAAGCATTTGACGGTGTGGATCATAACAAATTATGGATAACATTGAGAAAAAATGGGAATTCCAGAACACTTAATTGTGCTTATGAGGAATCTGTATGTAGATCAAGAGGCAGTCATTTGAACAGAACAAGGGGATACTGTGTGGTTTAAAATCAAGAAAGATGTGCATCAGGGATGTATCCATTTACCATACTTACTCAATCTTCATACTGGGCAAATAGTCCGAGAAGCTGGACTGTATGAAGAAGAATGTGGTATCAGAATTGAAGGAAGACTCATTAACAACCTGTGATATGCAGATGACATAACCTTGCTTGCTGAAAGTGAAGAAGACTTGGAGCACTTACTGACGAAGTCAAAGACTAAAGCCTTCAGTATGGATTATACCTCAACATAAAGAAAACAAAAATCCTCACAACTGGACCAATAAGCAAGTTCATGATAAATGGAAAAAAGACTGAAGATGTCAAGGATTTCATTTTACTTGGATCCACAATCAACACCCATGGACGCAGCAGTCAAGAAATCAAATGATGTCTTGCACTGGGCAAATCTGCTGCAAAAGACCTCTTTAAAAAAGTTTAAGAGCAGAAATGTACTTTGAAGACTATACATGCATATAACCTCATATGCATGTGAGAGCTGGACAATGAATAAGCAAGACTGCAGAAGAATTGATGCATTTGAATTGTGGGATTTGCGAAGAATATTTAATGTATGATGGACTGCTAGACAAACACACCAATTTGTCTTGGAGGAAGTACCGCTAGAATGCTCCTTAGATGCAAGAATGACCAGACTTCATCTCACATACTTTGGTCATGTTGTCAAAAGGGACCAGTCTCTGGGAAAGATATAGTGAGGCAGAGAGTCAGCAAAAATGGGGAAGACCCTTAACGAGAGGGACTGACACAGTGGCGGTGATGATTGGTTGAAGCATGGCAACGTTTGGGAGGATAGTGTAGTACTGGGCAGCATTTCGTTCTGTTGTACAGAGTTGCTATGAGTCAAAACCAACTCAACGGCACCTAACGATAACAAGATATTTTAGATTCACTTTATTTATAGTTTTCATTTATTGGATTTACTATAATAATTTAAGAAGCATTTGAAATGCTTAAAATGAAAATCTATTAATTTAATTTGTTTATTATCCATTAATTTAAAATGTTTATATTAGTTTAATTAACTAAGTTTAAACATGGGACCAATTGTCAATCAGAGGCTTCCCTTGATTTGCCAGTTGTATGAAAATAGTAACAATATTTATAAAATGAATTTTAAAGCTTAAGGAAAGACTAGGTTTATATTTGTAACTTAGTATTACTTTTAAAAACCAAAGTAAATGCAAAATTTATTTTTTCATTTATAAAAATAACTAAAGGACACTAAAAAGCTCCCAACCCCACCTCCAATTGCCTACAACAATAATAGCAAATTGTTGTTGTTGTTGTTATGTGCCATCGAGTCGGCCCCGACTCATAGCGACCCCTCCTTGGGTTTCCAAGGCAGTATCACTACGGAAGTAGGATTGCCCAACCTTCCTTCCGAGGAGTGGCCGGTGGGTTTGAACCGCCAGCCTTCTGGTTAGCAGTCAAGTGCTTTAGCCACTATGCTACCAGAGCTCCTAGTGACCTTATATATGTGGCCATCTCCTTTCCTAGTCCAATAGCAGACATCACTAATTAATCTCAGCATGCTTTCCTTCTGAGCTCAGGCAGCACTACCTGAATGTAACATCCCAAGCAGCAGTTCTCCTTCTCTGCAGATGACAGTGAGATAGAACTGACTTGCCATCTCTGCTTTATTCATGCACTCATTCATTCACGTATGCATTCATCATTCATTCATCAACCAGTAGCTATAGAAGTGTCTAGGAGTATCTCCACTTTGGCATGGGCCTTAGCCTAGTTTTAGAGTGGTTTGGACATTCACCCGTCTCCAGAACCTCACAAACCACCTTGGGTGGTATAGGTAGGGCAGGGCTTATTATCCACGGGGAAAGTGAGGGGCTCCAGAACTGGTCAGGGCTGGGGCTCAAAGTCTGATCTGCAGCCCCTGCTTGGCCTCGTGGACAGACTGGGCATGGGGCCCTGTACCTTCTGCCATCTGTAGAAGCGATCGGCTTTTATGATCATGTCCACTAGGCTGACGTGGTTGCTGCGGGCGGCAACTGCCAGGGCAGTTTTTCCTTGCTGCAAGTGGGAAGTGAGAAGAAGCAGCAGCATCACCAGGCATTTCGACAGGTAGGGTATGGGCCAGCCTCTAGCACTGGCTACAGACCCAACAAAAAAGTCACCCTTGGACTAAGGTAGTAATAACAATTCCAGCAACCACCCCTGGTGTTTGTGTCAGAATTTAGGAAGCTTTAGAATATGAATTTCAGTCCACATTATGCTCCAATATCCCTCTGTAACGTAAGTGTTATCACCCCATTTCTCAGATGAAGAAACCAGAGTCCAAAGAAAGGGGCATGGGCTCATCATGTCACCTTTGCCCACCTCCCCTCAGGTCTCCAGAGTCCCTGGGTGGTGCAATGGTTAATGTGCTCAGCTGCTAACTAAGGTTGGAGGTTTAAGTCCACCCAGAGGCACCTAGGAAGAAAGTCCTGGTGATCTACTTCTGAAAAGACAGCCATTGAAAACCCTGTGGAGCACAGTTCCGCTCTGACACATGTGGGGTCGCCATGAGTCAGAATCAACTCAGTGGCAACTGCTTTGGTTTGGTTTTCCTCAGGCCCCTAGATACCCAGCATGGAGCCAGTCTTGGCCACCTCCAGGGATCTATGATGAAAAGGGATGCTCTCTTTGCATTTGGCCAGCTATCTGCAGGCCAGCTTGAAGCCGTCCAGGGAACCCCCTCCCATGTCCAGTCTCAGGGCCTGATCCCTGCCCTTCTCAGTTTTATCACCTCATCCCAGGGCGGCCTTGTCTGGGCCACGTGTGCAAGTGCCCTTCCCCTCGTAAGCCTGTGACCTCCCCAACCTCAAGGAGTCCAAGTCTTTGGCTCCTCTCCCATCCTCTGGCCTGTTGAGGAGACAGCCACCGCAGAGGCACAATTATCCAGCAAGCTTGCCCCTACCTTGCTTCCCACGTCAAATGGCGGTGTGCTACATCTCCAGTCCCACCACCACTAGGTGACTCAAGGAGCTCACATTCTGATGAGGGGCATGAAATAGGAAACAGGTATATCACAGACCCAGATCAGGAAAGGGGCTGGTCAAGTGCTGAGGGACCTCAGAGGAGAGAGCACAGGTGGTAGAGGGGCAGGAAGGCTTCCTGGAAGAGGCTGTATTTGAGCTGGTATGTTGTTGTTGTTGTTATGTGCCGTGGAGTTGGACCCAACTCATAGCAACCCCTCCTTGGGTTTCTGAGGCAGTATCACTACGGAAGTAGATTGCCTCATCTTCCTTCCAAGGAGGTGGTGGGTTTCAACTGCCAGCCTTCTGGTTAGCAGTCAAGTGTCTTAGCCACTATGCTACCATAAATGATAAAGAAGCAGGCCCTGAACACTTGGACAGGAAGTAGGAAGGAAACATTTGTATAAGAGTCTTCATCAAAGAGGGAGCTTGAAAGGGAGATGAGGGGTGAACAGAGGCACCTTATCTCTCAGGTTTAAGTTAACCCCAGCGATGAGGAACATCTCTGCTATGTCCTGCCAGGCGTGCTCAGCGGCGAGGTGGAGGGGCGTCTGCTGCCTCTGGGGAAGAAGCCAAGGGGACAGGTAAGCAGAAAAGCATGTAGTGGGTGACTCATGGCTGAAGCAAGGCCAGGACCAACGTGGGTATACGCCCACCCAGGCCTTAGCAAAGTTTCTGTGAGAAGCTGGAGATGGGGGCTGAGTTTAACCATAAATACAACACTCACCAGAGAAAACTTGGTGAATACAAAGAAGAAGAAAGACAGACAAAGAAAGAAAAGCTACTCAATGGGCATCACTCTAAGTCAACCCTTGTAATTTCTTCTAGTCTTTGCTTTCATGCAGAATTTTTTAGTTTTCTGGTTTATAGGAGATTGTGCTCTATATAGATTTTTCATCCCATATTTCTACCTAATACTTTACATGTTTTATAAACTCTGATAAATGCCATTTTTAATAGCTCCATAATATGTTATCTATGTGTGTACTGTAGTTTATCTAACCACTTCTCTATTATTAAATGTTTGGATCATTTTCAAACAGAGGTCTGATAAACAATGCTGCAATGAACATCTTTGTGCATGAAGCTTTTAATATATTTCTTGAGGCTCAATTCCCACAAGTACAAATACTGGTCATTTCAAAGATGATGCTGTTATGTGCCGTTGAGTCGGACCCGACTCATAGCGACCCCTCCTTGGGTTTCCAAGGCAGTATCACTACGGAAGTAGATCATCCAACCTTCCTTCCGAGGAGTGGCTGGTGGGTTTGAACCGCCACCTTCTGGTCTTAGGCACTACACTACCAGAGCTCCTATTTGAAAGATAGGTGTACTATATTCTTCCAAATTGCTCTCTCCTCCTAGTGCTTGTGGGTACCATTGTCTTGCCAGCACTGAGTTTTATATGATTGGAGGATGAATTGTGGGGACGGGGGTTTCAAAGGGTATTTGGTGGATCACTACTTCAGGACACAGAGGCTACTTGTTACATAAGATTGCCCCAGTCACCTCTGCCCTAGGAATTTTCCCTAGGAGGGGGGGAAAAATCAATGAAACCGCAAGGCTGGATATAGAAAGAGGTTTAGTGAAGTGTTATGTATATCATGACAAAAAACTTAGAAACAGCCAAAGTGTTCAAAATAGGGGGAATGGCTAATAACATGATGCTATCCTTCAACAGGGAGCTCTGGTAGCGTAGTGGCTAAGGCACTTGACTGCTAACCAGAAGGCTGGCGGTTCAAACCCACCAGCCACTCCTCGGAAGGAAGATGGGGCAATCTACTTCCGTAGTGATACTGCCTCGGAAACCCAAGGAGGGGTCACTATGAGTCGGGTCTGACTCGATGGCATGTAACAACAACAACAACACCCTTCAACAAATATTCAAACATCTTTTAAAGACTTAAAAAGCAATACCCCAAGTTTGGGCCAAGCTAGGAGACAAGAGACAAGCCCTGCACATCTGGCAGGGTGATCAGAGGTTCCCTGAGGCCCAGGGTGGTTACTGTAGCCACTTACATTGTCTACGGCATCCAGGTCACTCTTGGTGTCAATGAGTAGCCGAACCAGGGCCGGGAAGTTGTGCCTCACAGCGAGGTGTATGGGAGAGGCACCCTGCTGTGGGAAAAAACAAACAAGTCAATTGATGGGTCCACCCAGCTGCAGGGTGGTACTTGGAGGTGGGAGTAGGGAGGGCTATAAGCTTCTGTGTTTTACCCTTGTTACTTTTCAGCCTACATAGGTGGTGTGAAGCATTTGCAGCCCTAAAACTTGAATCCTTGGAGCCCAAAACTGATCCTCAAGGTGGGCAGGAACCTGAAGATCCAAATTGGAGACCTTGCTATGCCAGGGACTTGCTATGTGACCTGAGGCAAGTCATCTCCCTCCTTCGGTCTTTGTCTGGCAAGTAAAGTTTGTTCAGATCCCTTCTAGCAGCAACACCTGAAGATTCTATGATCTCTCATTTAATCCACACAGCAACACAGGAAGTACACAGACTAGTAGACTGGTATTTAATTAATTCACCTAGGTTTTGTGTGTGTGTGTGAATCTATTTTAACCTACCTAAATAAATAATCATATTGCCTACAAATAAATAGTATCTTTAAATTTTCCTTTCCAGTATTGATACATCTTCTTTCTGGCTTAAACCGGTAATGGCAAGAGTGGATATTCTTGGTATGTGTGTGTATGTGTGGTGTGTTTGTGATTATAACAAATGGAAACATCAAAGGTTCAGAAAACTTAAACAGCTTGCTCAAGAGCACACAGTTAACAAGGACTGTATTTCATTGGACTTTCTACCTCCAGCAACTAGGTAGGTACCTGATAACTATTTATGTATGAAATGAATAAGTGAAAGTCAGCCAGACCAGAGCAGAGAGTTCACTCTAAGTCTAGGGCTCTTCCACAGCTGCTTTCAAGGCTGGAGGATGCCACCTCCAAATGGTCATCTGTGGTCCTCTGACTGTAAATGACAAAGTAGAGATTCTGGCACAGAATCTCCCATCTCTAGGCAATATGGTGACACAAACACTAAGGAATAATGCACAGCCAATAAAATCGATGGTATAGCTCTATATTTATTATGGAAAACACCATTATATATTAAATAGAAAAAGGTTACAGAACACTTATCATAATCACAAACACACCACACATACACACACATACCAAGAATGCCCACCCTTGCCATTACCAGTTTAAGCCAGAAAGAAGATGTATCAATACTGGAAAGGAAGATTTAAAGATACTATTTATTTGTAGGCAATATAATTATATATTTAGGTAGGTTAAAATAGATACACACACACACACACACACACAAAAAAAAAACCTAGGTGAATTAATTAAAAAGTCGTGTGGAAGAGTAGGAGGGGAGGGGAGGAAATACTGCAAAAATAAAAAAATAAAAAAGTCACGTGGAAGATAACATGCCCAAGTCAATAGCATTCCTGTATTGAACAGCTAGAAGTAATGACATATCATTTTTTTTTATTGTGATTTGGGGAAAGTTATAAATGATTTCCAGAAAGTGGCAGGGCTGGAGACACAATCACCAAATATGCCAGATGTGGCTCTGTTCTTTCTAGAAATAAATGTGTGGAAATGTGATGAGAATAGGCAATGGTAAAAGAGCAATCATTGCTTTTAATTTTTTTAAAAAAATCTTATTTGAAAAATCAAAAGAACCTTTCTGTTAAGGGTTGAAATAAATTGGAAACAAATAATGCTGATATTTGCACTGTATGGTGAATGTAATTAATATCACTGAGTTGTACATGTAAAAATGGTTGAAATGGCAGCATTTTTAAGTGTACAAGTCAGTAGCATTACATTCACGATACAATGCAACCATCACCACTATATCCAAAATGTCTTCATCACCCCAAATGGTAACCTAGTGTCCATTAAACAGTAACTTCATTCCTTCTTCCCCCAGCCCCTGATAACCTCTAATCCACTTTCTGTTTCTATGAATTTGCCTATTCTAGATATTTCATGTAAGTAGAATCCTAGAGTATTTGCCCTTTTGTATCTGATGGATAAATGAGTGGAGAATATAAACAGATAATCCATTTGTGAAGAAACGCAGCTTGGTTTCTCATCCTGTTCCAGCTAGAACATTACTGACTCCCCCAAGTGTTGCCAGCTCTCCTAGGCCCAGCCCCATCTCAACACCAAGGGCCCGAAGTCCCTGTCTCTCCTTGCTATCAGTAGGGTCACTGGAAGACTTTCCAATGAAGACCTCCTTCAATGTAGGCTCCACACTTACATGATCAGCCACGTTGGTACAGCCTCCTGCATGGATGAGGGCCCAGGCGACGTCCTCAGAGCCACCTAGGGCTGCATAGTGAAGGCAGCTCAGCTTTTTCTAGAGGGAAACAGGCATCAAAGCAATGTCATAAGGACCCCTCATGGCAGCGTTCACATTGCACTTAGGGATTCACTATTCCATAAGTCTCACAACCACCTTGGAGTGTTATCACCATTAAATCCTGAGACTGGAGAAAACGAGGATTTGGGGGCACAAGTAAAAGGACTGAGGGGGTTCCTGGGACACAGAACATTCGGTTTTAAAATCATGACAGTATGGGGCAAACTAGGATGAATTGGTCACCTTACAAAAGTCTCATCAGAGAGTGCATAGAGTGGGTGGGAACCAGTCTACCTCCCAGTGGGAAACGTCATCACTTTGGGCTTTCTCCTCTTCAGAGACCCCCCTCCCCCAAAAAGAGGCTGAGATCCAGTGTCCAAATGGAATGTGGCCTCTGCCAGAAACCTCCCGCTGAGTCTGGAGCACAAGGCCCAGTGCATGGGCAGCTCCAAACCCAATGACCACCCAGCTGGGCACAACCTCTCTGTCTCTGACTTATTGCTGCCACTGTTAGGGCAGCGGCCATGTCATTTCACTTTTTTGCCCCCTTTCCTAGTACCTACTACCATGCTGGGCACAGGGAAGGGACCTTGCTGACCAAAGAGCAACACCATGCCAATGGAAGGGCATTAGCTGTGTGCCCTGGGTCACTTCCCCAGGTGGTAGTACCTAGACCCTCCAGGGGAATTTTGCAAATTAAGTGTTTTGTGACTTATAAACCATTATTCATATTCAGGGAGGTTTAATGCTGAGAATATTGAATTTACATTTGTCATTTTGCTGTTTATTCTCTATGTCTTCTATTTTTTTCGGGGGGGAGGTTCCTCCTGGACTGCCTCTTTTGTATTACATAAACATTCTTAGCATTCCTTTTTAATTTCTCTGTTGATTTTTAAACTATATTTTTTGCTATTATTATTGAAATTTAGAACAAATAGAGAATTCCAGCGCCTGAAGCCAGTCAACAAGCCAAGAAACATTATTTGTCACTGGTCAAAAAAGAAAAAAAAAAAAAAAAGCCTTTATCTAAAGAAAACCAGCAACCCCTCTTCTCAAGAGAATTTCTGACGTCAGACCTGAGGAGTACAAGTGTGAGGGAGAGAAGAGGTCACCCCAGGGGCATGCCCTAGGCCCCAGTTCTGTGGCCTTGTGTAGCCACAGCACAGATTGCCCTTAGCCAGGGCAAAACTTCCCAGCCATAAGTTCAAGAGTCAGAGGAATAGACTTTTGAGACCCCGGTTTGCTTCTTACCAGCCCCATGACCCTGAGAAAGTCACTGAAACTCTCTAACCTTCAGTTTCCTCATCTATCAAATGGGGGAACTTTTTATGAAGGGGTTTTGTGAACCATTAAGTGCCCAACAATAAGAAGACACTTAAAAGTTGTTGAATCCCTATTATGTCCCAGGCACTGGACTAGATATTCAATCCTCACAAGAATGTAAAAATGTAAGCACATATCATTCCAATTTTATAGTGGGGAAACGATGCTCAGAGAGATTGAGTAACTTGCCCAAGGTCACACAGCTCAGCAGTGAAGAACCCTTAACCAGAACCTAGGCTTGCTGCCTTGAAGCATCTATTCACTCAACATTCAGGAATTGTTGTGGCAGTCACTATTGACACAGTTCTGGCTCGGTGGCCAAAGGCAGTAGTGGTGGTGAGGCCGAGCTACCTGGGTGAGAGCGTTCACGCAGCTCCCAGCCCGGAGGAGGGTCCTCACACAGTCAGGGCGGATCCCTTCAGCAGCCACGTGCAGGGCAGTCAGACCCTCCTGGAACACATGGGGAGACACATGAGGACAGTGCAGAGGCTGAGGCCAAAGCCTAAGGGTGAGAGGACATCCCTAGCACCATGGCTCCAGGAGTTTGAGTTCTCAACAACTCTGCTACTGAGGACAATGCCTTTCAGGCCCACCCTGGTTTTCACACTTTGTGGAGCTTATGGTACACTCCCTCCACATCTCTGCTCATATTCTCCTTGCCCTTCAAGCCGCCCCACCCTTGCTCTCCATCTAGTCCCTCCTACTCCAGGAAGCCACTCTTGCCATGGTGACATTTCTTCTTTGAGCACGTACTATGTTTATCAGTTCTTGGTAATCATCATATCACTTGGTAATTGTCATGCTTGATGCCCCGCTGACCCTGGGAGTCTTGTGTTGCTTGTCTTTTCCTGGTGGTTGCTAGTCTGGAAACATGTCTTCAGCCTCCTGGCTTTGGGGTCTTCACCAGGGGAAAATCAGAGCATACCATGTGCTGTGTGTGAGTTCTTCAAAGGCATGGAGCAAGCAAGCATCACACATCTCTGCACCCCACCCCTCCCCAGGCCAGAACTCAGACCTGAAAGGGTAGCTAGGCTGTCGCTGGTGACTCACCACATTTTGCTCCTCCAGGTCCAGCCCAATGTCCACCAGTCGATGCAGCACAGCCACGTGGCCCCGGCCAGCAGCCAGATGAAGGGCTGTGTTCCCCTTCTGCAAGAATAAGGGCTCTTTAAAGGAAACTCACAGATATTTGCAGGCCCTGAGGCCTGTCTAGACCCATTCTTTCATTTTACAGACTCAGAAGCTGAGGCCCAGCATGGGAACTGACAAGCCCAGGGTCACGGCACAAGTCTGTGATGAGCAGCAGCCTTGTACTCTGGGCCAATGCCACCCTGCCCCTGAGAACTATACCAAAACTAGAGCCAGGAGCACTTCCAAGGACCAACTTTTCATCTCTCTCTCTCTTTGAGCATCAGGGCAGACACATGTTTTTTAATTGACTACTATAATAAGCTACTATAATAATATAAGGAGCTCTGGTGGCATAGTGGATAAGGCATTTGGCTGCTACCCAGAAGATCAGCTGTTCAGACCCACCAGCTGCTCCATGGAAAGAAGATGGGGCGATCTACTTCTGTAAAGATTTACAGCCTCGGAAACCCAATGGGGGCCGCTGTGAGTCTGATTCAACTTGATGGCAGTGAGTTGCTTTTTTTAAAAACATAATATTTGTCCTTCTGTGACAGACACATTACTTTAAAAACAACAACAACAACAAAAATCCACTTTCCATACTCCCATCTCAAGTCAATCCCTCCTCTGGTATGCTCTCACTTCTCGAGAACACAGCTCTAGTAACTCTCCCCTGTCCTGGAGCTGGTCCCAGGCAGCTAGCTACTTGGCCCAGTCACTCACCTCCTCTTCACTTAGCATAATGTTTTCAAGGTTCATCTCTTTGCTCAAGACATTATTAGCTTATCACTGAAGGCCACCCTAGTCAAACAGTTTAAAATGGATACTCCCTAGCCCCTGTATTCCTGGCTCCCGTATCTTACTCTGTCTTTTCTCCCCACAGCTTATCACCTTCCAACTCACAACAACGTACTTGTATCATGCTTAATATTTACTGTCTGACTCTCTTTGCTAGAACCTAAGCACCATAAGAGCAAGAATTTTTGTCTGTTTTGCTCTGAGAAGTCTCCTCAAGTGCCTAGAGTAGGGCCTGGGGCACATGGTAGACCTTTAGTAGAGTTCAGAGTAAATAATGTGAGAGGGTCTTTGAGGAGACCATATGGAAAGCTTGCCGTGGGTGTCCTGGAATGTGAGGGCCAGAAGTTCTGGCAGTTGGGAAGTTTAGAATTCTAAAGGTGACAGTGACAGAACCAAGAGAAGTGGCTCCACTGGGCTGGGCAAAGGGCACAATGTCCCCTGTATTAAAGGTAACCCCACCAAGGCCAGCTTGTTTTAAGTTATATTTTAAGTGATCTTACCTCAGAGGACACCTGGAAGAGTGTCAGGGACTGAATTGTGTCACCCCAAAATATGTATCAACTTGGTTAGGCTATGATTCTTATATTGTATGGTTGTTCTCCATTTTTTAAATTATCCTCCATTTTGTGATGTGTTGTAAATCCTAACTTCTATATGTTAATCAGGTAGGGTCAGTGTGGGGTGTGTCTTGAGTCAAGTCCTAAAGCCATACCTTTTATCTTACAAGAGATAAATGGAGAGGGAAGAGAACAGGGAGGAGAGGGACCTCATTATTACCAAGAAAGGAGAGCTGGGAGCAGAGCACATTCTTTGGACCTGAAGTCCCTGTGCTGAGAACCTCCTAGACCCAGGAGTAAAGTGATGCCAAGACACATGGAGATCTCCAAGGAACAATGGGCCCACAGATGATGAAAGGAGCTGGCACACTAAATTCAGACTTCGGGCCTCCTAAACTGTGAGAGAGGAGCTCTGGTAGCATAGTGCCTAAGGCACTTGACTACTAACCAGAAGGCTGGCGGTTCAAACCCACCAGCCACTCCTCAGAAGGAAGATGGGGCAATCTACTTCCGTAGTGATACTTCCTGGGAAACCCAAGGAGGGGTCACTATGAGTCGGGTCCAACTCCATGGCACATAACAACAACAACAACAAACTATGAGAGAATAAATTTCTGTTTGTTAAAGCCATCCACCTGTGGTATTTCTGTCATAGTAGCACTAGATAACTAAGACAAGGGGTGAAGGGGCTCCAGGAGAGGGGAGGGAAGCTGGAAGTGGCCAGCCAAAGAAAAGGTATGGCTCCCATGGGAACCACAGATAGAAGACAGAGCAAAGAACCCTGAGTGAGAAACCCCAAAAGTACCCACAAGGGGAGATCCAGCTTTGGCTACTCATCAAGCCCAAAAGTCACCTGGAACATATCTTTTTCTTTTAAATTGAGGCAAAATTCATATAACATACAATGAACCATTTTACAATGCACAATTCAGTGGCATTTAGAACATTCACAACGTTGTGCAGCCACCATCTCTCTTATTTCAAGATTTCTCATCTTTAGCTTAACTAGTAAAGCATGTCTGCCTTGAGCATAGTGCTCTATCTCTCTCTCTCTCTCTTTTTATTGTGATTTGGGTGAAAATTTACAGAGCAAATTCACTTTCCATACAGCTGTTCACATACACTTTGTCTCATGACAGTGAGAGCATGGTGCTCTCTTGAGATCTATCTCTACAGGATCAAACTGACAACAGCAACTTGAGAAATTAGACAGGAAACTTAGCAGGCAGTGAGTGTATGTTAATGGGGGAGGAACAACTCAGGAAATGAGGGTGAGAATGGTTGCACAACTCAAAGAATGTAAGTAATGTCACTGAATTGTACATGCAAAAACTGTGGTACTGGTGTATATAATGCTGTGTATATTTTCAACAATAATAACAAAACTAAATAAATTCAAAGGAAATGAACTTTATTGTCACCCCAGAAAGATGCCTCATATCCTTTAAGTAATCACTTCTCATTCCTTCCTCTCTCCATCCCTGGCTGCTTTCTGTCTCTAAGAACTTGCCTACTCTGGACATCACATATAAAAGGAATCATACAATACATGGCCTTTTGTGTCTGGCTTCTCTCACTTAGCATAATGCCTTCAAGGTTTATCATGTCATAGCACGTATCAGTCTATCATTCCTTTTGATTTATGTCTGAATAATATTCCATTGAATGGATAGACCACAGTTCATTTCCATTCATCAGTTAAAGGACATCTGGGCTGTTTCCCTCTTTTGGATATTATTAACTATGCTGTTACAAACACTCTTATACACATTTTTTGTGTGAACATGTTTTCATTTCTCTCAGGTATATACACCTACTCTTATTGAACATCTCATTATCGGACATCTTGCATTTACAAGTAAATGTAATAAAAAAAACCTATCTATTTTGCGCATTAATGATGGACATCTGGCAGTAATGAATGCCAAGTTGCTAGGTGAGAATAACTCTGGCTTCAATGGTTAAGGTTATGTGTCAACTTGGCTGAGCCATTATTCTCAGTGGTTTGGCAGTTAGGTAATGATGTAATCTGGCAGTTTTTAATGATGCAGTCAACTTTCATTTTGTGATCTGATGTGGTCATCCTCCATTTTAGCCTACAATGCTGATTTTCACATCATGACCTGGTCTTTGGAACCTAGCCATATTGATGAGTGAGGAGTGGACGTAGTGAAACCTATGAGAGCCAGAACTCAACAGGACTACCTGTTCCGAGTCTCACATGTTTCCTGCCTTTGTCAACGTGCAGTCTTACCACTTTTCTATTATTCTCTAAACCAAAACCAAAACCCAAACCCAACTCATTGCCATTGAGTTGATTGTGACGCATAGCGACCCTTCCTTGGGTTTCCAAGGCGGTATCTCTAAGGAAATAGATTGCACAGTCTTCCTTCTGAGGAGAGGCTGGTGGGTTTGAACCGCCAGCCTTCTGATTAGCAGTCAAATGCCTTAGGCACTATGCCACCAGCCCTCCCTAGTAATGGAAAATATTTTAATTTTCCTTCTTTGACAAGTTTTCATCTTATAAGTTCTGACTTTCACAGGTTTCACTGCACCTAGGAGCGGAATTGTTGGGCCACATGGTAACTCTATATTTACCACTTTTTGAGGAACCACCAAACTCTTTTCCACAGTGGATGCACCATCTGCATACTTATCACCAACCTGAGATGTATCTTAGCAGCACCAGGCATAGGGGACTTTCCTGGCCCAAACTTTGCCTCCCAACCCCCGTATCCACCCTGCAGAGACCCAAGAGCAGCCAGTGGAAGAGGACAATGGAAAGAAGGAAAAAAAAAAAAAAAAAGCTGACTACAACCTCATCCCCCATTCCAAACATCCAGGGCTGGGTAAGGTCCTGATTAGGGTAGGAGAGAAACTTGAAATTAAGTAAGATTTTGGGATATTAATATTGTACTGGATGGGACTTTCAAATGCTAAAATGGGGCTGATTGTGATTAAAAGGAAAAGCTAAGGTACTGCCTCAAATTTCAGTAGAGCAAGAAATAATGGGTCCAGAGAGAAGGTTTGAAGAAGCAGTGGGAGAAAAAAATTAAATTGTTTTCTGTTTGTACCCTATTGAGTCCAGCTTATTCAACAGATCATTCTGTTTAACTACTAAATGGTGTTCCAGCACATGATACATGCATTTTATTTGGCCACTGGTTTTTTCCAAATTTTTAGAACCACCAATAGTGCTGCAGTGAATATCCTTGCGCTTGTCTCCTTGTGCCCCACAGGTCATAGGTGGCTATTGGACACCAGCAATTGGAAAGGAAATATTTGTTTAGTGCCTGGTATATAGTTTGCCTGGCCTCTTAGGTATATAAACTCCTTAATCTTCACAATAGCCCTATAAGGCGTAAAGAACCCCTGATGGCACTTGGCTGCTAACCAAAAGGTTGACATTCAAAGCCACCCAGTGACTCCTTGAGAGAAAGACCTGACAATCTCCTTCCATAAAGATTACATCCTAAAAAACCCTATGGGGCAATTCTACTCTGTCACATGGAATCACTATGATTGAAGTTGACTCAATGGCACCTAGCAACAACAAGATTTAAAAATAACTTTCTTTAAACCTAGCTACTACTATCAGGAGCTCTGGTAGCCTAGTGCCTAAGGCACTTGACTGCTAACCAGAAAGCTGACGGTTCAAACCCACCAGCCACTCCTCAGAAGGAAGGTTGGGCAATCTACTTCCGTGTGATACCACCTCGGAAACCCAAGGAGGGGTCACTATGAGTTGGGTCCAACTCAAGGGCACATAACAACAACAACAACCACTATCAACCACCCAGCAAGGGATCAGTGGAGGAGATCCTGGGTAGAACGGGAGAACAATGTGGAATAAAACCCAAAATCATAAATAGAGCTTGATGAAACCCCTGAGACTATTGCCCCTACACCTCAGTTCTGGAACTGAACTCACTCATGTGGCTTCTGGCCAAACAATACACAGGTATAAGAGATGAACATTTACATCAGATAGATATACTCCTTGGAACTATCAATCATGGGAGAACAGAAGGCCATTGTTTGCAAAGGGAGACAGCTCAGGGGTCTGGGAGTACATGGGAGGGAAAGACACAGGGAAGAGGGAACTAAGAGGAGGAAGTGGGAAGAGAGCTCTTACACTGTGGGGAATTGCAGTCAATGTCATGAGACAAAATGTGTATGAACTGCTATATGGTAAATGAATTTGCTCTGTAAACTTTCACCCAAATCACAATAAAATTTAAAGAAAGAAAGAAAGACTATAACCCTGATGCACACCTTTCCTGATTTTAAACCATGCAGTATCCCCTTGTTCTGTTAGAATGACTGTCTTTTGGTCTATGTACAGGTTCCTCATCAGCACAATTAAGTGTTCTGGAATTCCCATTCTCTGTAATGTTATACACAATTTGTTATGATTCACATAGTCAAATATCTTTGCATAGATTAAAAAAAATAATAACATGCAAACATCTTTCTGGTATTCTCTGCTTTCAGCCAAGAGCCATCTAATATCAGCAATGATATCTGTCATTCCACATCCTCTTCTGAATCCAGCTTGGATTTCTGAAGGTTCCCTGTCTATGTACTGATGCAATCATTTAAAAATTATTTTCAACAAAATTTTACTTGCATGTGGTATTAATGATATTGTTCAATAATTTCTGCATTCTGTTGGATCACCTTTCTCTGAAATGGGCACAATTATGAATCTCTTCCAGTCATTTGGCTAGTACCTCTCTTTCAAATTTCTTGGCACAGATAAGTGAACACTTCCAGCATTGCATTTGTTTGCTGAAACATCTCAATGAGTATTCCATCAATTCCTAGAGTCCTCTTTCTCACCAATGCCTTGAGTGCAGCTTGAACCTCTTCCTTCAACACCATTGGTTCTTGATCATATGCTACCTAACTCCTGAAATGGTTCAATGTCTACCAATTCTTTTTGGGTACAGTGACTCTGTGTATTCTTTCCATCTTCTTTTGATACTTTCTACATCAGGATAGCTCTTCCTTTGTTTTGCTATGTGACCTTAGCTAATGCATTCCCCTCTCTGGACTTCAGTTTTCACATCTGTAAAATGAGTGGATTGAACTAACCTTTGATGAAGACATCTTCTACTTCCAAGCTCCTATGGTGCTCCACATAAAACATTTTCTGTGAGTGCTCTGGCACAACCTTATAAACAGAACTCCCTTGACCCTGGCCAAGCATACTACTCCTCCTCTTACTGGAAGCATTGTTTGAATCTGCTGCAACATATTTTATGCCCTGATTTGCAGTAGCCCATAGATATGAGTCATTTGCAGGTCAGTCCCCTCCAGTCCCTTCTCAGATAGTGAAATCCTGCTCACACACTCTCCATTCTGCCCCTTCCTTGGAGCTTCTTTATGATTTCTGCCATAACCACAACAAAACCAAAATCAAACACATTGCAGCTGAGTCGATTCCAACTCACAGCGACTCTGTAGGGCAGAAAAGAACTGCCCTATAGGCTGTAATCTTTACCGAAAGCAGACTGTCATATCTTTCTCCCTTAGAGCAACTGGTGGGTTTGAACCACCAACTTTTCAGTTAACAGCCGAGCGCTTAACCACTGCACCACCAGGGCTCTGCTATAAACATGCAGAGCACTACATTCCAAAGAAAGCAAATAACCAGCAAGTGGCTATCATCCTTCTAACTCTGTCCTCAATCCCAACAATTAAAAAAAAAAAAAAGTTGCCAATGAGTTGATTCCAACTCACAGTAACCCCATGTGCTGTACAGTAAAACTGCCTTTCTTTGGATTTTCATAGCTGTAACTTTTCAGAAGCAAATCAGTAGGCCTTTCTTCCAAAGCACCTAGGTGGACTTGAACCTCTAACCTTTCAGTTAGCTACTGAATGAGTTAACCGTTTGCACCACCCAGGACTCCTCGCTGCCAATATAAGACATTGACAATACAATCACAAGCCTACTTAACCCTTCCAGGCAGCCACTACCAATTACCCCATTTGCCATCCCAGCTCCCCACATGGGATCATAGCTCTTTACTGTGGATGCTGGTGCTGATTTCCTTGAGTAAGGAGTGTGTCTTGGGCATCTTTGTATCCCTGACCTGAAGCACAGGGCTGACCCATAGAGGGTCCTCACAGAATGTTGCTGGACAAACATTAGACACGCTCGGGTCTTGTGCCACCTACCCCAACACAAGGTGAGGTGCCAGAACCTGGAAGTGGGCAGGGGTTTCAGCACACTGTCAGGAGTCCAGAGACTGGCCCTCCACCCTGCCCAAAGGTCACAGCCATACCTTGTCTTTGACCCTGTGGTCACAGCCAGAACCCACAAGGAAGTCCAGAGCATCCAGCTGCCCGTGCTCAGCAGCCCAGTGAAACGCCGTCCTCCCCAGCTGGTAAGGAGGAAAAAGAGAGTGAATCTTCTGCATCCTAGGGAGCGTGCACCTTCACCCTGCCCCACCTGGTCTCTGCTCCCAAGTCACTGACTTGGCTCGAAGTGGCCTCTCCTGCCCCAGTCACTGTCCCTCCCCTCACCCCACACACCCTGTCTGGAAAGCTCAGACTCAACTTCCAAAAGACTGTTTGGAGGGATCCCTACTGCCAATTGCATAAAGGATAGACCTCTGAGGCTGAGGGCCATGATCTCCATAAGGGGCTCCCACCACTTCTCTGGCATTCACTCCCAAGATTCCAACAGTTCTTAACTCACACACAAAGGGCCCCTTTCCACCTCAAAAGCTCAGGTGATGTGTTCCCCTTCACATGGAATACCCCCCTGTTCCCCAATCTTACCCACAAAATCTAATTCAGTCACCAAATGCTACCTCCTCCAGGAAGCAAAGAGCAGGGCTCCCTCCTCTGAACCTTAATCCTTGACTAGGGCCTCTCCACAGGGACGGACCGTGTTCTCCCGTATCCTGAACATGTGCGCTCAAATACTCCTTCCAGACCAGGAGCTCCCTGAGGTAGGCCTGGGTCTGCCTTACCCATAGCTCAAAGGTTATGCTCAAGGAATGAAGGAGTGAGGGAAGCCGGTGGGCAGGAGAGGCCTCGGAGCCCCAGGCCCAATGGGAAGGACAAACAGCCTTAAGGCAGCTCTCACCTTGTCCACACGGTCCAGGGCCACATCCTCCAGGTCCTCCATGATGAATGCCAGCACTGGCACGTGACCTTTCTGGGCTGCACAGTGCAGTAAAGTCAGGCCATCCTGAAAACAAACCTAGGGTGGTCCCTGAAGTCTAGGAAAGGAGACCCTCTCACAAACTGGCTGTCTGCCAAACTGTGGGTGTTTGGGACCCAGAATACAGCTGACTCATGGAAGCAACATGGTGAATGCCAGATGGGTCCCAAGGATAACCACAGAGCCCACTCAGTCTCATAGAGGTTGCTGGAGGTCAGGACGTCAGAGTTCAAACCCCAGCTCTGGCACATATCAGCTCTTTGATCTTGGGCAAGATACCTCTACTTCTGTGAGCCTCCATTTTCTCACAGGTCAAACTTAGGATGGTAATTTCTGACTCCCTCAGGAGTGGATGGCATCACCTACATGAAAGGTATTTTTATAAACTGAAAGATGATTCAAAGATTCAAGTGAGGTAGTATAGCACTAACAGTGACCCAGAACATTCCCATAGAGCACTGCTATGAAGGCTCTAGGCACCTGCCTCCCTACAGCTACAAGTGAGGAAGCAGGTGACAAAGTGCCCTGTGTATGTCACAGGAGGTGACCTCCTGACCTTCTAGCATCAGGAGAAAGACTGAGAGCAGACACACTCCACAGGGATTGGAAGGGAAGTGGCTTGGGGGGGAGAGTAGGCAGGAAGGAGGTCTCTTGGCCCCAGAGGCAATTCTCCCTCTATCTTACACCATAAGTTCTACTGGTCTCCCCCATATTTCACAGCATAGGCAGGACACAAAGTAGGTGCTCAGCAAATACTTGTGAAAACCACTGGCAGATTCAAAGTTGAAAGTGCTTAGTAGTTATTAACTTCTTAGAGCTCTCTTAAACTCCTTAGGCACCATTCTGAAATTTATCTAAGTAGACCCTTCAGTATACTAAATAAGTTGTTGCTCCCTCCCCTAATGACTGTCCCCTCTACCCCCAACCTGCACTGCCCAAATTAAGGGAAAAAGACAAGTCCTAACAAACATGCCTGAAGGAGGAACATGGGGGGGTGCACAGTAAGTGACTCTCAAACTCTGAAGGTTAAGCTTTAAATATCACCAGTGTTTGAGGAGTCCCTGAGTGGTGCAACCAGTTAAGGACTTGACCACTAGCTGAAAGGTTAGCAGTTCCAATCCACCCAGAGGCATCTCAGAAGGTGGGCTTGGTGATCTGCTTCTAAAAGTTCACAGTTCTGAAAACCTTATGGGGCAGTTTTTAATTGTATTAGTTCACTATTGTAAAAAGTCAAGGAAAGGTTTATATATGGAAGGAAACTTTCTTCGTTGGTTACCAGGTGTGATAGTTGGAATTGTGTGTTAACTTGGCTGGACCACAATTCTGAGTGGTTTAAGCAGTTGTGATGTGGGTTATTCCCATGATGAGATCGGACGTATATGTTTTGAGCAGCTAATCAGTTGAAAGGGAGTTTCCCTAGGGGTGTGGCCTGCTTCCGATATATTTATGGACATCTTGGGAAAAAGAGACTCTTCTGTGGATTGGGATCCTGTTGTGCTGCCTACAACTGTCTGTGAGTGAACAATTCACCATTCGGCCTGGAGATCTTTGATTTGTCATTCGTTGGAGTCAACAGCTGATATACTGCCTGCCAACCTTGAGCTCATCAGCCCCTGCAGCTGTGTAAGTCAGGAAAAACCTCCAGCTTGACGTTTGATCCAAGAAGTTGGGACTTGCCAGCTTCTATAAGTGTGTGAACCATTCTCCTAAGATAAATGTCTCTTTCTCTCTATATATATAAGCTTCACTGGTTTTGCTTCTCTAGAGAACCCAGCCTAACACAGGGGTGGGAAAGCAGGGGTGAAAACACTGCAAACATTTTTTTAATTTAAAAAAAAAAAAAAAAACTTATGAGACAGTTTTACTCTGCACACATGGGTTCACCATGAGTTGGAATCTACTTAACGGCAACTAAAAACAACATGGTAAATATCACCTGGCTGAGACTGGAAGAGTAAACCTGATTGCAGCCCAACCTTATCTAAGCCTATGGCCCTGGCTTATCTAAAGATGGTCATCCAGAAAGAAGCATGGCTGGCCAAGAAGCCTGGGGCAGGCCCCCACTGACCTAGAGAAGGAGTCTGTCCCCTTTGCTCCCCCAGGGACATCTCTGTATGGGTCCCTTGGCCCCTTACTGCCACACTCTAGGCTCACTCACCGAGAGTCTGTCATAGACATTCCTACCACTGCCAACAAGATCCTAACAATGGCATAAAGCAGACCTCTTATATACTTTGGCCCCTTTCAGCATCTGAGGAAACCTATGGACTCCTTCTCAGAATAATGTTCCTAATTAAGTAAATAAATAAAATACACAGAAAGAATTTAATAAAATGCATAGGATTACAAAGGTATATTAATTTCCCAGTGCTGCTATAACACATTACACATATTTATTACCTTACAGCTCTGGAGATCCAAAAAAAAACAAAACAAACTCACTGCCATTGAGTTGGTCCCAACTCATAGTGACCCCCCCCCTTGGGTTTCCAAGGCAGTATTTCTATGGAAGCAGATTGCTCAATCTTCCTTCCGAGGAGTGGCTGGTGGGTTTGAACTTTCAGCCTTCTGCTTAGCAGTCAAATGCCTTAGCCACTATGCCACCAGAGATCCTTTAGGCTACATACAAATGGGGTCGCTAGGAGTCAGAACTGACTTGATGGCACCTACCAACAACAATAAGAAGCGTTAAGTAGAATTTTGAGAAAACTGTAAAAACAGTATCAGGATATGCAAATGAAAATGGTCATGTTTTCTGTTGGTGACAAAATCACAGGTAACACTAATACTACTATGGTTACACCCATTGTTGAAAGAAATGCTAAACTTTCAAGTAGAAGTTAATGAAAATAAATATGTAAATTTTTTCTGATCCAAGTTCATGAATCCCGTGACTTCTCTCCAAGGACCCTGGTTAAGAAGCCCTAGTTGACAGTACTATGGCCCAGATTGTTGTTGTTGTTATGTGCTGTCAAGTCTGATCCAACTCATAGTGACCCTCCTTGGGTTTCCAAGGCAGTATCACTATGGAAGTAGATCACCCCATCTTCCTTCTGAGGAGTGGCTGGTGGGTTTTGAACCGCCAGCCTTCTGGTTAGCAGTCAAATGCCTTAGGCACTATGCCACCAGAGCTCCTAAAATGGCCCAGAAGTGTTTGCATTTTCATAAGGGCCACTGAGACCCCACAGGCGGAAACACCAGTGGAGGGATTCCAGGATTTTGCCTTGTGGGACAGAGGAGCTTTCAGCAGGGCCCTTCCCCTCCAACCACAGCCCACACCAGGGAGGGGACAGCTAGGTTCCTCGTGTGCTAGGCACAGTGCTGAGCTACACTTGCTTCTCTTACAGTTCAAGGCTGGGTACCAGCATTCCTATTGTCAGGTGTGAAGACTGAGGCTCACCCAAAGAACCAGAGTTTGGTAAGTGGTGCCTGTGTTCCTCCCACCCACCACATTAACCATGAGGGAAGGAGGACCCAGCAGGAGGGCCCTCTCATTTTATCTTCCTAACTACCCTCTGAAGGAGCCCTGGTGCTCAACGGTTAGTGCTTGGCTGCTAACCAAAAGGTATGTGCAATTTGAACCCACCCATCAATTCCATGGAAGAAAGACCTGGTGATCTGTTTCCCTAAAGGTTACAACCTAGTAAACCATATGAGGAAGTTCTACTCTATCCCATGGGGTGACTCGACAACCACCACCACTACCATCACTCTCTCAGGGTGATTGATTTCTCTTTTGTAAAGAAGGAGGCTGGCCAGAGGTCTCAGGACTGTTTGAAGATTACTGAGTAGTAAATAGTGGGGAGGTGGGAAATCAGAAGACAGAGTGTCCCAGGCTTTCAATGCTGATGGAGGAGACCTCCCAGTCCCTCTCCCAGCTCCTGTGGAAGCAGTTAGAGGAACCAGCTTCTCAGAGCTGAGCTCAGCTGGAGGTCCAGTAGGGATCTCAAAGGGCTAGTGCAAGTGGGACAGAGGAAGGTGAGAGACAGGAAGGAGCAAGCAGGGCAGAGGTGGCAAGTAAGTGGGGGCATCAGGTGGGGGCAAATGGGTACAAAGGTGGAGACGGGAGTGAGCACAAAACTGGAGAGGAAACAGAATAAGGGAAGGCAGGCAGGGGTAAAGGGCTGCCGGCTGGGATCTTACCTTGTTCTCACAGTGGACCTTGGCCCCCGAGTTGACCAGGATCTGGAGAACTCGTAAGTGGCCAAACCAGGCAGACAGGAGAAGTGCATTCATCCCAAACTAGGGGAGAAGACATGGGGAAGGTAAGGTGAATATGAGGAGGCGTGACTGTTCCACTGGGTCCTATTGTCCAGACTGCAAAACCATCAAGCCGTGAGGGACCACAGGGCCCACCTAGTCCAGAAAGCTGCATGCTTTAGGCTATAAAGACCAGGACTTCTTTTAAAAAAAATAAAGGCTGATATACTACTGCCAACTTATTTCTTCCTAAATAAAGCTCTTAAAACAGCTGCCACCAGGGACATCAAGCTCAATTGGCATAACATACTACACAAAACATTGTTTTACACCCTACGTTGGTGATTAGTGACTGGGGTCTTAAAAGCTTGCAAGCAGCCATCTAGATGCAACAATGGGTCTCTCCTCATCCAGAGAAAAGAAGAATGATGAAAACCAAAGACACATGGAAACGATTAGTCCAAGGGACTGGTAGACCATGCAATCCTCAGTCTATAAGACCAAGAGACCAGAAGTACTAGATGGTGCCCAGCTACCAGTGTCAGCCACTCAGAGGGGGATCAGTGCAGGAGATCCTGGATAGAGTGGGAGAAAAAGGTGGAACAAAACTCAAAATCATTAAAAAAAAAAAAAAAAAAAAGACCAGATTTGCTGGTCTGATGGAACTTGGGAAGACCCCTGAGATTATGGCCCCTAGTTACCCTTCAGGTCTGGAACTGAACTCACTCCTGTGGTTTCCAGCCAAACAATACACATGCATATGGGGTGAACATTTACATCAGGTAGATGCACTCCTTGGAGCAACCAGTCATGGGAGAATAGAAGGGCATTGTTTGCACAGGGAGACGGCTCAGGGGGCCGGGAGTGCATGGGAGAGAAGGACACAGGGAAGAGTTAACTATCGGGAGGAAGTGGGAAGAGAGCTGTTACATTGTGGGGAATTGCAGTCAATGTCATGAGATTAAATGTATATGAACTGCTGTGTTACAGAATTTTCTCTGTAAACTTTCACTCAAATTACAATAAAAATTTAAAAAAAAAAAAAAAAAAACAGCTGCCACCTACTCTCACCATCATATCATAAAGAAAGGCTATTTTAATACCAAAAATTTGGAAGGAACCAATCTCAAGAGTATATTCTTTCCAAATATAGCTTTAATGGAAGGGTTGGTGACAACTCTTTCTAGGCTGGCATTTGAGAATCAACTGTTTTAATCTCCTACAGAACATCCTCAAGGCCCAGGGCCTAAATTTGAATATGCCCATCTCAGCAGATGTCCCCTGCACTGTCAAACACACTCATTGTTAGAAAGTTCTTCCTGTCCTCACTCTTAGTCACTCCAAGTACCTGGGGCCTGGGACAGAGGCCAGAGGATAAAGTTGGCAGCTCCTAGTCCTTCTATTGAATCAGCCCCCATCTCACAGCCTGGACGGCTGGTGGGGAGGCTGGCTCACCCTCAGAACCCTGCACAGATCACACTGGATCCCAGCTGTCTCTCCACTGTCTCCATAAGGAGCCTTTGTGAGAAGTGCCAGGAAACATGGCCCTAGTGGCTGGCACTAGAATTATTTTTAGAGAAGAAATGACTGTCTTTGTTCAGGTCAAAGCCTTGACAAGTGGTTGAGGCAAAAGGTGAACCCCAGTGGGAAGTGGCTGATCAGCAGGCACCTGAGCATCCAAAGTGAGTTTCACTGCTCTGTCTTAGAAAGAATTTGCCAGAATTTGGAGGTGGGTGTGGGGGAGTTACAAAAAAAAAAAAAAAAAGATAGCATTAAAGAGAAGAGGAGTAGTTGAGGCCAAGAGACTTCAAAGAACAAGACTGCCAAAAAGATGTTGTTGTTGTTGTTGTGTGCCATTGAGTCGGACCTGACTCATAGCGACCCCTCCTTGGGTTTCCGAGGCAGTATCACTACGGAAGTAGATTGCCCCATCTTCCTTCCGAGGAGTGGCTGGTGGGTTTGAACCACCAGCCTTCTGGTTAGCAGTCAAGTGCCTTAGCCACTATGCTACCAGAGCTCCCGCCAAAAAGATAGGACTATAAAATTTTCCGTTATTTTTGTGTGTAAAGTAAGTCCCTCCATCTCCTATTTTGAAAAGCCTATCGCACACCAAAGGCTATGGGTGGATTGGGTCTCTGTGGAAACTGGGGAGAGGGACTGAGATCCATATTTGGGGTGACACCAGGGTGGAGAAAAAGACAGCAAGAGTTGAGCAGAAGCTGAAAGTAAAAGTCAGAAGTGACCACAAGAATTTAAGGGCTTCCTCCTAAAATGTTAGGGAGGTTGTAGGATCTGTCACAGAACCTCAGCTGAGGACTGGAGCTGGTCTCAACTAGAGCTGAAGGGACCAGAAACCCGGCACTGGCTCAGGGCTCAGTGCCCGGGAGAGAATCAGTGACTGGGCTGACTGGCTGGCTGGCTGAGGAAAGGACTGAACAAGCACGCAGCAGAGTTCAGAGGGAGAAGCCCACAGGTGTTTGGGAATGAAAGGCATCAGGCCTCAGGGCTGAGGAATAAGAGTCATGGGAGCCAGAGAGAGCCTCCTCCAGTGGGAACCCCAAAAACACTTCGTAGTCCTTGACCAGATTTTATTCCTCTGCATCATTCTTTGTGGCCTATCACTAGAGACCTGCCCCAAACAGCAGAACTTCCCTTCTCTTCTGTGTCTCTGCGACCCTTACGTTATTAAAGTAAGCACACTCACCAGCTTTTTTATATTTCAAAGTGTATTTATTGCTATTAGCAAAAGAAACAGAGAAGATTTATTAAAAAAAAACAAACTCCCTCTTAATATTTTCCCTCCTGTCTTCTTCTCACACTCAGCCCCTGGAGGAGGAACAGAGCAGAGTGGTGATAATGGGGGTCTTCTTGGGCAAAAAGTAGATGCAAGAATCTGCAGTTTCAATTAGTCCAAGGAACTAGTAGACCATGTGATTCTCAGCCTATATGACCAGAAGCCCAGAAGAACTAGATGGTACCTGGCTACCACTGACAACCACTCAGAGTGCGATCGGTGCAGGAGACCCTGGATAGAGTGGGAGAACAATGTGGAACAAAATTCAAAATCATAAAAAAAAAAAAAAAAAAAGACCAGGTTTGCTGGTCTGATAGAGCCTGGTGAGACCCCTGAGACTATGGCCCCTAGTTACCTTCAGGTCTCCTATGGCTTCCAGCTAAACAATAGACAGGCATATAGGGTGTACATTTACATCCCTTGGAGCCATCAATCATGAGAGAACAGAAATGCAGTGTTTGCACAGGGAGATAGCTGAGCAAGGGGAGTGCGTAGGAGGGAAGGACACAGAGAAAGAAGTAACTATGGGGAGGAAGTGGGAAATTACATTGTGGGGAACTGTAGTCAATGTCAGGAAACAAAATGTGTATGAACTGCTATATGGAAAATGAATTTTTTCTGTAAACTTTCACCCAAATCACAATAAAAATTAGAAAGAAATAAAAAGCTTTGTGTGTAAAGAAGGAAGTCCTGGGGGGTAAAAAAAAAAAAAAAAAATCTGCAGTTTCACTGGGAAACTCAGACTAAGGATCCTAGCCATTTGCCATTCTCCTTCCCTAAGCAGGCTGGGGGAGGATGTGGGGAAGAGGCAGGGGTAGATGTTGCTGTCCCACCCCCACCCCGGCTTATAATCAAAGCCTCCTCGTGATGGGGTCTAAGAGCAGAAAGAAGCCTAGAGAAAAAAGATGTGTTTCCATGGACAGCTATATCTCTGCAGGAAGTCTATAATTTTTCAAAAGCTAAATTTAGACCCTTAAATGAATCCCTGTCAAATGTCACTGTTGGAGTCAGCCCTCTGTCTCATCTAGGGCTGCCCCTTACTGAGGGGATAATTTTGTAGACCCTCTATTCTTTAGCGTTCTTTCTCAGCAATGTGCTGCCAGCCATTTTGTTAAGCAAGATTGTTAGGCTTTACCCAAGTTCTGATTAAAGTGTTAGCCAGAGTAGATCAAAAACAAAAACCAAACTCACTGCCATCCAGTTGATTCTGACTTATAGTAACCCCGTTTGGGTTCCAAGGTGGTAAATCTTTATGAAAGTAGATTGCCCCGTCTTCCTTCAGTGGAGTGACTGGTGGGTTTGAACTGTCAGCCTTCTGGTTAGCAGTCAAATACCTTAGGCACTGTGCCTCCAGAGCTCCTTAACCAGGATAGAGTGCTCTGCATATCATGAGAGACCTTCTCCTGGTGACTTTATTGAGCAGGCCTTTCAATCCACCTGATTATCCTTCCTACAGCCCTTATCAGGAGCTCTGGTGGCGTAGCGCCAAAGGCACTTGACTGCTAACCAGAAGGCTGGCAGTTCAAACCCACCAGGCACTTGACTGCTAACCAGAAGGCTGGCAGTTGTTGTTGACATGGTATCACAAGGGACTGAAAAGAACTAAGAAGCTCCTGAAAATGGAGAGATCCTTATTCAGCAGTAAATCCAAGGGGAGATAGGATTAGTGCAATGTCACCAGCCCTGAAGACTCAGACTCTGTGCCTACTTGGGTGTCAGCATATCGTTAGCAACCTCAGCAAAGACAGACAGCTGGCTCAGAGACCCAGAGACCACTCAGACGTCCCTCTCCCACCCTGAGGCAGACAGACACATGCCCCAACAGGATGCCTCCTAAGGGGCTCGTACCGCATCCTCGTCGTCCACAGCAGCCTCGTGCTCCAGGAGCAGCCGCACAGCCTGCTCGTGCCCTGCACCTGTGGCCCAGTGCAGGGCCACCCTGCCCACCTGCCAGAAGGAAGAGAACACCTGTCAGGGCTGCCAGCTGTCTAGCCCACCTCCCACATCCTCCCCTGTTCCCCTGCTGGGACAGCTGGTCTGCAGGATGGAAATGCCTTCCCTGTCACTAATCTCAAGGTCTCAATGAATCACCAAGCCTGGCTTAGCATCTCACCCTGGGTGAGGCCTTGTAGGCCTCCCTGCCCCTGCAACCAGGGTTGACCCTTCCCCCTTTCACACATACCCACCTTGGCCATGACCCTCTGGGTTGTAGGAACTGCCTCCCCCATTCTGCAGTGAGTGT